TGTGTGTGTGTGTGTGTGTTTGTGTTTCTTTGAGTGATGTGTATGATCTTTTCTATCTGCCCTCTTTTTCCTTAGTCCTTCTTCTGCGGAGTTGTTGTAATCCCAACCTAGCATTTATTTGCTCTTTGTATTGTGTGTTTCATTATCTGTGGGACTTTTTTTTTGCTTCTTTTACTTCATTGTTTTTTTTTTTTTTTTTCCACTTTTCTTTATCTTCTAGTTTAAGCTGGTTTTTTTTCGTCTTAAAGTTTGTTTGTGTGTTTGTTTGTGTGTGTGTGTGTGTGTATAGGTAAGAGAATTATATTCAGTAATTTTTGTATATCATGGACTCAATAAAGCAAGGTAAAAAGACCCTAGAGATCTTTTTCTCTGTTATTTCATACAGTATATGTAGTATGAGCATGATTATTCTAAACAAACTAGTTTTGTTTACATACGGTTTAAACTATCCAATGGGGTTGCTCTTCATTCAGAACTCTGGGGCACTACTTCTTGTGGTATGGGGAAAACATATGAAATATCTTCATTACCCTGATTTCAGTATTGAGGTAACAAAAAAATGGCTTCCACTTACGTTATTATTTGTAACGATGCTATGGACATCAATGAAGAGTTTGCATACCATGTCAGTTTCAATGCAAACCATTATAAAAAATCTTGCAGTTATTTTTACTGCATTTGGTGATTCGAGATTGTACGGTAGACGAGTTACTCCTATAATGTATTTCTCCTTTGTCCTTATGGTTTTGGGTAGTTACATGGGAGCTAAAGGTGATCAGTGGATCACTAGTTGGGGATTATTCTGGACCTTTGCAAATGTTGGGGTAACTGTGGCTTACACATTGTACATGAAACGATTATTGGGAGATGTAAGCAAGCAAATTGGTCGCTATGGACCGGTTTTTTACAATAATTTGCTTTCTTTACCCTTCCTTCTTGCGGCTTCATTACCTTCTATACCACAGATGGTATGTTCCCTTATGACTGCCTCTATAGGTGCACTTCTCAGTGTTTTATTAATGATTCTAACAGGATCTGTAATGACTTTTGCGGTATTCTGGTGTATGAAGGAGACTTCACCAACAACTTTTAGTGTTGTTGGTGCAGTAAACAAAGCCCCTTTGGCTATCTTGGGAATGGTGGTTTTCAAGCAATTTCCAACATTTACTGGTTATGTCGGTATTACTATGGCTCTCGCTGGTGGATTTATCTACACATATGTAAATGTGACTAATAATGCAAAACCCTCAGAGGATCGCAATAATCATCTAACTGTAAAGCCTAGTTTTCCCAGAGAATCCCAAAAGGAAAAATCTGATGTTACGGGTAAGCTAAAAGAATACGTATAAATATTACTTCTGAGATTATCGGCTGTATGGATTTTAGGAAAAAAAAAAAAAATAAAATAAAATAATGTCACTACAGGGTAGAAAACTCGTTTAGGCCAGTTATTCTTACTAGTTATCTCTCCAAATTAGTGGAATGGATCATCGCAGCCCGCATTATAGATGTTATTGAATCCAAACTAACCTCCGCAATAATCTGGATTCAGGCCTGGTCACTCCACATTAGAACAACTATTGCACCTATGCGCAGTCCTCACGAGACACTACTCTGACTCGCGTACGGGAGCAGTATTTGTAGACCACACCAAACGAATAGTTAAGTAGATAGGGGGAGAACCCCTCCTTCCACCTCATCGATGGCAAATAGCTGGATCCTGGGATCCCACTAAAGACAACCCCGGAATTCATTAGAGAGGAAGAAACAGCCCTAGCACGTTGTCGAACAGGCGCTTCGCATCGTTACAGCTGGTTGCTGCGAAAAAAAAAAAAAAAACTCTATATCCCCCTTGGTTGTCGCTGGTACAATCCCCAAAAGGAAAATGCACCACCAGCACCTATGCCAATTGGACCAAAACAATCGCCCCATCCACTACGTAAACCATTAAACACCTGCAGGAAATGTGGGGCGCAATACTCATGCAGGAACGTCGTAGTAGTACATATAGTTAAGAAACACATGGGTTCACGAGAGCCGATGCGCTCTGGAAGATCAAATTCCCCCATGAGTCACCTCCGCCACTCCCACAAACTTCGCACCCCCACAACCCAATGAATCCCGCATTCTGCATAGCTTCGCTGCGATTTTTCTCCACGAGACTTCAACAACATATAGGACCCCTGGCATGCCAGAAAAAGTTTAAACACCTTCCTGGAACTCCAATTCTGATGGCATCCATACAGGTAACGTTCCCACGCAATAAAAAAAAACGCCTGCGCGGGATTCATCGTCGCCAACGGGGCGTGAGAGGACAGTGAGAAAGTCCAGTGCGGAGTCTGCTGGAAGTTCTACGCCAATCTGGTTTCCCTCTCTATCCACTGCAGAAAATTCCATAATGGAAAAGGAAATGCCAGAAAAAGCGAAGTCCAACCATTCACAGAATAAACCGGCGAAAACAAGAGACCTTCTGGTATTAATCTGCCGCACATGCAACTGTCTTTGTGTGTAATGAGTAAATCGGGCCTAACTCTACACTGCATGTCACGACACGAGTATCACCCTACTCACTCGCACACCAGCCAACGCGACGAATACGAGGAAACAGCTCTTCATCTCTTGAGTTGCCCCGCTCTTTATCCACTGCGAGTTCAATTTACGATAATTGATTATGTACCCCTGATGAAACTACGTTTTTCTAAGCGGTTTACTCAGTTACTTATTGCGGTTTAGCGGAACTACATTATACCCCAGTCTTTTCACCCTAGAAACCCTATGCCTCCTTCCTCTTTCCCCCGTTAATCCTCCGTCGCACATTAGAACTGGCGATAACCTCTATTATGGAAGACCTCATAGAATCGTACGTATGAGGCGGTTGTCGCAGACCTGAGAAGGAATAAAAATAAATAGGAGTTCATTGAGGCCTATTAATCACACAAAATAAAGTAGATTTGAGGACAGGCTCTGGGTAACGAAGGTGTGAGTAGAGTTTTCTCGTAGACTGGTTTTCTCGTATGGGAATGGTTTTAACACAAACAGTGAACGAAGCTTTAAACTAAGAAAAAACAAAAAATATATATAACAGAACGCATATTACAAAATCTTGACGACCCCACAAAACAAAGGGTTCTTCTTCCTCTTCAACGTTACTTGTAAGTCAGTAATTAAAGTGCTCCATGGTAGTAGGCTGAGAGTCGTATTATTGGAGCAATATCCATTAAGACACAAAGAATAAATAATAAAAAAAAAAGTAAACATTGTTTCAGAAGGTTTTGTTCGTGTTTCTTTTTTTTTCCATTGTTTCAGTAGGCTGTAAGTGGTGAATTGTGCATATGTTTATACCCCCTTAAGGATACGAGACTTGTCAAAGGAATAAAAGATTAATATATGTATCTGTGTGTATGCATTTCTTAAATTTTATTTCTAAATATTGTTTTTTTGTTTTCTTTTTTTTTCTTTTTCTTTTTCCTTGTTGATTTCTGTTTTTGTTTGAATCGCTAGCGTATATCAGAGGAGAAAGGGAGAGGATCAACTGATAGCCATGTCGGATGATCTTCCAAATACTAGAGACATCGTCAAGGGTGTCTTCAGTGTGGTAAAAGAGTACAGCAAATTAGCAGGTGAGCTTCCAGTAGATGACTACGATTATCATATGGCTTTTCCTGGATTTGGTCAACAGATAAAACGGCATGGTGAAGCACTTGTTACTCTTATGGATAAATGTTGTCAGCTTATACCAGCACGACGTCGCGTTTCACTGCAAGGCTGTACTGGATGTCTAAATGAACCACAACGTGCTGTGGTGATGGAGGCAGTGGATTCATTGTTGGAAAATGTGGATGGTTTACTCGATGATCTTAAAGGAAGACGTCTCAGTGCAAGAGATCAACTATCAGTTACATTTGGGTCGGAACTGCAGAGTTCCTCTAATTCTCCTAATGAGTTTTCAGGACATGTTTTTCGACCACAGTTAACGTTTGAACATCCTGTGGATAATAGCACAGATCCATTTGCACCTATTTACTATGATGAAAAAGGTGAGAAACATGTGGCTCAACCTGGTGTTCATCCTTTCTTTGATCAAATTAAAAACGCCCCGATAAATGAAGAACAACTGCTTCGATGTGCAGATACAACATATCTTCCTTTGGCTACATGTCCACTTCGTTTTCTGGACTCTGTAACAGAACTTGAACAGATGGTGGAAGTACTTCTTCAGGAAAAGGAAATTGCAGTGGACCTGGAACATCACGATTTTTATTCTTACCAAGGATTTACATGTCTTATGCAGATCAGCACACGCACAGAAGATTTCATTATTGATTGTCTTAAACTACGATCTTCTATGTATAAATTGGCTCCTGTTTTTCTACATCCACGCATTTTAAAAGTATTTCATGGTGCTCGAGAAGATGTTAGGTGGTTACAAAAAGATTTTGGCCTGTATATTGCAAATTTATTTGATACAGGTATAGCTCTTCAGACATTACATATGCCTCACAGTCTGGCTTTTGCTGTTGATCATTTTTGTCAGGTAAAACTGAATAAAAAATATCAGACAGCAGATTGGCGTATTCGTCCTATTCCAGCAGAAATGGTGGCGTATGCTCGACAAGATACACATTTTCTCTTGTATGTATATGATCGATTAAAGGCTCTTCTTCTTAATAGTGAGGGTAGAGCTTCTGTTGGTAATCTTCTGGTTCACGTAATTAATGAAAGTCGTCGACTGTCATTGGAATTGTATGAAAAACCACAACTAGAGCCAAATACTACTTATAAACTTGCCCTTGGTCGGAGTTTAGGTGGGTTATCTTCTGTACAAATGCAAGTGGCAAGAGATATATTTAATTGGAGAGATACTGCCGCAAGGGAAGTGGATGATTCACCTGCTGCTGTTATGCATCTTTCCTCTGTATTGGCTATTGCCACTAAATTACCAACTTCTGCAAGTCAACTACTAAAGTGCTGCAGTCCGATAAGTCTTGTAACTCGTTCAAATGTCATGAAACTTGTTCAAATAGTAAAAGATGCTGTAGGAAACTCGATAACTGTAAAACAACAAGAAGAGGAAATTAAGATGGAGTCTAAAGAAGATACTAAAGAAGTATCCCGTCCTGTTGGCGTTCATCAGCCAATGACAGGAACTTTACCATCTATTGAACAGGGTGTAACCCCAGAATTGGCGTATGAAACAAACACCTGTACGGTTGTGCATTCACAACCATCTGCGTGGTTTACCACTATGCGCAATCTCGCCAGTGTTCTCCGCAGCAGGTCTCAACTGGCTGTCCCACTTCCTGGTCAAGAGGTGATGGCAATGTTACTACATGCTAAAAGTATCAATAAACGCCCACGTGGTGATATAGCGGAGGCATCATCTTTGCAAGAGGATGAAACTACACTGAAAGACACAGTGGAAGATGATAGTCTCCATAACCATAACAGTAATGAAGAAGAAGGAGAAGAAAAGGAAAAGAATGAACTGGAGAAGAATAGCGGTGAACAGGCGGCGGAGGACCAACAGGCCGTTAAGCCTCTCGAGTTGGGTCAACAGGCCATGGCACTCCGACAGAAGTACGGTCTGGGCAGTGCGAATCGCAAGAAGGCCAAGGTGGAAAGGCGAAAGAATACCAAGGACGTGTAAAATGTTAAAGTAGAGGGATTGTCTTATTACCAATTGTTTGACAGTTACTTTACTATATATATACTTAAGAAAGAAGAAGAAGAGAAAAAAAAAGAAAGAGAAAGAAAATGAAAAGAGGAAATTCCTCTACCCTTAAGACACATAGCACGAAAGAAAAAAAAAGGGGAAAAAGTAATGACAGACATTTATCAATGATAGTATTAAGGTATTTTTATGCATTATTTTCTTTCCTAACGATAATTCTTTTATTTTTTGTCCTTTCTTTTTTTTTTTTTTTTTTTTTTTTTTTTTTTTTTTTTTTTTTTCTTGAGGCCAAGAAGATAAAAATAGTAGTGAGACAAAATGAAAGTACGACGACGATCTCCTAGAACCGTGAAGGTCTGTGGGATTTTGTTGCTTTTCTTGTGCATTATTGTCATTGCTTTGTCAAATATTCTACAAGAAGATACCACTGACAACCACAATATTGTATCTAATGGTGTAGGTTTATCCAAACCAAAGTCTTACTATGATGATAAAAAAGATAATTATAATAATAATAGTAATAATACCTGTGGTAGTGCAAAAATGTGTTTGGACTGTTTGTTTCCTGTATCTAGCAAAATTCTTTCAGATCAAGTTTATCGTCCATCAACTGAGTGCTTTTGGTGTGCGGCAACATCTCGCTGTATGTATCGTGGAAGCAAGGAATTATGTGAAGATCGGGAAGAACAGTCCTGCCCTGCGGTCCTGCACTCTCACATTCCCAATTCTTTTCGTGTAATTCATGTTGGAATACAAAAAGGGGGACCAGAGGCTCTTATTCAATTACATTTGGCACTTAACCGTTGGGGATTCCTCACCACACTGGATACCCGTTCCAAGGAAAAGGGGGGGTCAGTTTTACCATTCTTTCGTAATATGTATAAGAATGAATTTAGTCGTGCCCCACCTTTACGATGGTTTAAAAACTATGATGAGTGGCATAAAAATGCACAAGAGGGCGATGTTCTTATTGCAACAGAAACTTGGCCATGTTTTAATAGAAATTACTTTGAAAAAGGGATAAGACAAATGCAATGGCATTTAACAGTTTGGCCACGACGTGATAGATCACATTGTACTATCGCAGGACATACAAACTACATTACAATGACTTATATGAATCAATCAAAACTCGCATTACTTTATCCATATATTTCTCCTCATATTATAAAACTAGCACAAAGTCATTCATCTTGGCGTAATACTAAAAGACGAGGAACTGATAAAATACCACTAGTCTTATTTGATTCAGATGTTAAATTGCAAAATAATGACCTCTTGAGTCGTAATGGTGTAATGAGAGAGGTAATACGGGCAACTGGATTTCGTCCAGAAGATTTATATGCACTATATGGACAAGCAACTGCAGGAATTGATTTACGTCTTCCAGGAGCAGAACGATTTATTTTTGAAGCTGTTTTATTTGATGTTTGTGTTATTGTTGATAATTCCCTAGTTGGAGGATGTAGTGAAGATGTTCCCATTCCTGAGGAGTTTCGAGTTCCTGAAGGAAATTTGAGTGCTTTGAATAATGCCATTGATCGCTGTATTCGAGATTATGATTCTGTTATATCGAAATTTACAGAAATGAAAGAATTTACATTGCGTCAAAAAGTAACTTTTGAAAGACAAGTACGACGTTATTTTTCTAATAGTGTACATATTACTTCAGTAGTGTGTACACAGGAACAGTCTAATAAATTCCTTCTTCGTTTTATTCTTAATACTTTATTGTATGTTCCGTTTGCTACTGTAGAAATAAGACTAGCCGAGGGTGTTGTTGGTTTAACAGAGGGACAGCAAACCTTTCTACTGAATCAGAGTTGGTTAGCAGCTGTTCGTTTTGTTCAAATGGATGCAAAAGAGACTTCAGAAGTATGTCAGATAAATAATGAAGAAATGATTAGTAAAACAGAAAAGTATGGGAGTACAACTATACAATTAGCTCGTTTTATTCTTTTGACTAAAGGTCTTTCCTCTTATAATTCAAAAAAACGTTCTCTTCTTACGATGTTTGTTCCTATTAATGGTATTATTGTAACAGAGGATGTTGTACATTATATCACTTCACAACTGGCTCTGGTAGGTCGTCATCATGATCATGATAATCAAGAAGCAGTTACTGATAAGAAATTTCCTATTTACATTCTTAAGCTTAAAAGTGATGGAATGATTAATTTACCACTTATTGCAGTGTGGACTGCAGATGTCTCATCATTACTATCTTGTAGCCACATGGTAAACAACAACGTACCCTTGTTAAGCAAACTGTGCCAATATAAACCGAACACAGATGGTGATGCCGTATTATCGAATACAGTGGTTCTGCATGATGGGGGTGATATCATACCACTGGCGCTTGTGGTGGATTCGAAGGACAACAATGATGAAATCCTTCAAAGTGCGTGGAGTTTTATGTGTATGCATGAACTCTGGAAAGATTTGATAGGTGAATGTTGATTTCCTTCGTTCTTGTTGTTATTGTTCTTGATGATGATGATAATGGTGACGGTGTTCTCTTTTATCTTTTGAAAAGAGAGAGAGAGTGTGTGTGTTTGTGTGTTTGTATGTGAAGAAAATAACGTGATTGTCAACCCGGTTAGTTTTTTCTATTTATTGTTGTTGCTTAATAACAAGGGTCAGTTAAAAGTCGGAGTACTGTGTGTATATGGAATGAACAAGAAAGAAAAAACATCTCATCCCTGTGATGAGGAAACATGTATTTAATCTTGTGGGTGGAAAACAAAATTTTTTTTTTTATCATTCATTCCTTATTATTTTTATTTTTCTTCTTGCTGTTGGTTTTTTTTTTTCTCTCTCTCTCTCTCTTTTTATCATATTGTTCTTCTTTTTTTCTTCTTTATTTATTTTCTTCTCTTTTAGTTTTCCTTTATATATATATATATATATATTCTGCCTTGTGTGGAAAAGGGAAAAAAAAAAAACGGTAAATTATTTATATTCTCTTTTTTTTTTATTTAAAGGAATATATATATATATATATATAATAATATTTATAATAATAATAATAATAATAATAATAATACACTGGCCGTTGGAGTCGTATTAGACAGCCACGGTCGGTTGTAGCATTTTGTCCAATGCCGTACAACCGGGAGATCATCGCTTCTATTGCATTTGAGCACGATCCAGTCCACTCAAAGCGATTATCAAAGGAAAATGCCACTAACGAAAGCGCAGCGGATCCTCACGATAATCAAGACAACGCAGGGAATTTGGGCCCACAGCAAAATGAGGCCACTCGTAATATTATTAGTTGTATGAAGTGGGCTCTGGCGCAGAGTATCACTAGTATCTCACATCCAGCAAAGCAGCGGCCACTTAATCCAAAGAAAGATTTTACTATTGAAACTAAAATTGAGGTTAAAGTTAGAAATAATCAAGGACCAGGACTCAGTTGTTGTGGGGCATCTGGTGTTAAAAGAAGTCGTGCTCCCGCATTCTCTATTCGCGAAAGTGGTGATGATATAATGGATGTGGAAGAAAGTGATGATGAAAGTGAAAATGATACCGATAGTCTACCAGTTTCCTTTACATTTATTGACTATTCACCCATGTGCTATCATCATATCCGTGAATTCTTTAAAATTGATCCAAGAGCATATTGTGACGTGTTAATGCGAAGTCGATGGCACAGTACACCCACGCCAGGGAAGTCCGCTGCCCAATTATTCTTTTGTGGAAAAGATTGGGTTATCAAAACTATGACAAATGAGGAAAGTGAATTTCTGCGTAGCATTTTGCATCGTTACTACTTTTTTGTACTGGATAACCCATATACGTTATTACCTCATTTTGTAGGACATCATCGTCTAGAAATTGAAGGTGAGAAAATTAATATTATTATCATGCAAAATGTTTTTGCAACAGGAAATACAATTCATGAAAAGTATGATCTTAAAGGAAGTACAGTAGGTAGATTTGCAACTGAAGCTGAGAAGATGAAACACACATGTACACAGAAGGATTTAGATTTAAATCGTCCAATACATGTAGGTCCTGCAAGAAGAGCATTACTTATTGATCAAATTAAGAAAGATTGTGATTTTTTACGACGATCAAATGTTATGGATTATTCTTTCCTTGTAGGTATTCACGTATTACCAACACATAACCATCGTTGGATGGGAAACACTCAATCCGGTGGGAAAGATGGTTTTCAAGGAACTCTGCCTTTCCACGCACTCGCATTAGATGGAACAATAGCTGGAGTTTTTTCAGAACAACAAATGAATGCGACAACAAGTATGTATGGCGTCACACAACCTGAAGTTGCAATTGATGGACGTTGCTTCACTTCTGATCAAGGAGGGATGCTTAGTACAGAACAACCAGGTACTCAAAGAGAAATTTATTATATTGGTATCATAGATATTTTACAGGAGTATAATGTACGAAAACGTTTAGAGACCTTAGTTATTGGTTCTTTAAAAGATAGAGAAAAAATATCATCGGTACCTCCTCGTGAATATGCATCACGGTTTCTCTCTTTTATGTCCTCTATTATTGCGTGATAAACCTCAGTGCCTCTTTTGGAATTGCTGGTGTTGTTATTATAGTTATTGTGTTTTTTTTTTTCTTCTTTTTTACTGGTTATTAAGGAAAAATAATGTAGAAAAAAAATAATAAATAAAACTTAATTCCTCATTCATTGTCTGGGGTTGTGCATGGGTAGTTGTACTCATACCTTTCTTTCTCTCTAGATGAGGAAAGGAGAGAGAGAGAGAGAAAGGGGGAGAGAGGCTGCGCGTATGTGTGTCTATATGTAACAAAGATAGGGGGGATGTTGCTCTGTGGGGTGAATTGAGGTTGATAAAGTGTGAATTGCTTTCTTTCTCCGTATCTTGATTTTTTTTTTTTATGCAAGTGTGGGTGGGGGAGAGGCGACTTCATTCTTTGTTGACTTTTTTTTTCCTTCTCGTTGTTGTACATCCTTTTCACACTCGTTATGTGGATGTAGTGGCTATTGTTGTGTGTGGGTGTGTGTACATTCATCTTGGTTGTTGATGTGTAGTTGTGTTTCCTTTTTGTGTTCATATGGAATTTAACCCCAAGTTCCAAATGAATGTATTGAGTGCGTTGGTTGTTTATCATGGCAACGAAATAGCTATTTATACGGAGGACACAGAGCTATTTCTACCTGGGTGTATGTTGTTGTCGACTAATTCTTTTTTTTGTTTTTGCTCTTGCTTCTGTACTATAATTACTATTACTATTTGCTCTGGGGAGTGAGGGTGGTAGTGATGTTTTTGTACCTATACTTTTTTTTTTTCATTGTTTTTTTTTTTTTTTTTATGTTTTCGCAGGTTGTTTTGAGTCTGTGTTCCCTATCTGTGAAACGTTTATTTATTTAATTATTTATTAATTTGTTTTTTTTTTTCATTTTTTTATTTAATTCTAATAAGTGTACTACAAGTAATAGATAGATTTACATAGAGAGAGAGAGAGAGAGGAGTGTATGGTAAAGGAAAGAATAGGAAACAAGTGATTAACTGTTATTATTATTATTACTACTAAAAGAATGAATTCCCCGTCGAAATTAAACGATTTCTTTGGAATCGTGGATGACTTTTTTAAGAAAACGTTTAGAGAAAATTCACACATATTTTTGGCGGTAAAATCCACACAATTCTCTGAGTCCTTTCCAGGCAAGCAATTCTTCTTTACCACAACAGATTCGCAAGCACCTACATCTAATGGAAACTCCGAAACTACTGAAACTGAAACGCGAAAAACGCCGAATTACATGTCTTTCTCTCCGCGGCTTATTCTCAACCGCGACGGTGGTGGGTTTGGAAAAGTTAAACTCGGCTGCGGACTTCGCATCCCGCATGTGTGTCACTTTGAACAAGGCCTCGCCCTCACTAACGGGGGTGTGGTATCCACTAACGTCAAGTTGTCTGATCTGCTGGACGGTCTTGTGCTCAAGGGACGTGTGTCGGTAAATACTATTGCTCCAGCTTCACGAGATGTTTCTACAGCTACTGTTGATTATCATCGTCGTGACTTTTACTCTTCTCTTGGTTATCAACGTAATGGACTCGGTAGCAGTGATCTTCTTGTGGATTTTGGAACAAAGTTCTTTAATCTTCTCGCAGGTGCTGGGTTTGAGCGGCAGAAGCTATCGTATCTTGAGCAGCATGATGCTGCAGCACAGATGGATGTGCTCTACGCTGGTTTAGGCTTCACTGGTGTGAATTGGTCCATTGGGGCCAAAATGGTTCGTGCGAATGATGCATGGAGTAATGCCCGAGTAGCATTTTATCAACGTATGGCACCTAATACTTCTGTGGCCTGTTCTTATAACTTTGACTTGTCAGCTTCTCAGACACTTGTCTCATTGGGATTCTCACAAGGATTTCGTTTGCGTGTGCCAACCATTCTACAGCAGCGAGCAGAAGAACAAGTGGATGAGTGGACAGCAATTTTGCCATTTGTTGGGGCAGTAAAGGCGGAAAGTAATGGGACGTGTGCGATGACCATTCGTGGTGTTTTTAATGGGGTGGTTCGCTGGGGCCTAATTGCTCATAAAAATCTTCTTATAGACAAAGACCCGATACGATACGGTTTGACTATATCGATGGAGTCAAGTTGATACCTTATTTTATTATGTTTATTCATTTTATTTTTGTTATGGATGTTGTTTCTCATCATACAGTTATCCATTTTTTTTTTTCTGTCTTCGTCGGTTCTCACATTTTTATATTTTGTGGGATTGGATGCTGTTTTCACCGCATAGAGCTTCTCCGTTAATGTTCCCACTGACACTGAACTATATTTATTTCTGTGCATTGCGTGAACACCTTTTAACGGAAAAAGTAAGGAAATAAAAAGAGCATATCAAAAAAAAAAAAAAAGAACATATGGGGTGTATGGAGAGAAAAAAAAATTTGTTTTTTTCTTTTCTACTTTTTTTTGTTTTGTTTACAGAAACCTCGTATGGGTGCGTTTTCTTACCTTTTATTTGCTTCTTTTGATGAACCCATTCTATCTCCTCTTCTCTTTTTCTCTTTTTTTTTTTTTGTTCACTGTACTACCCCATGAAGAGCAAGAAGTAAATACAAGGCGTGGGAGGAAAACGAGGATGATCAAAAGTGACCTCATAACGAGAGTATTGGCATCTCGCTCAAAGTATTCTCTCTGGAAGACGCTCATCGTATTACTCATTGGANTACTTTTTTTTGTTTTGTTTACAGAAACCTCGTATGGGTGCGTTTTCTTACCTTTTATTTGCTTCTTTTGATGAACCCATTCTATCTCCTCTTCTCTTTTTTTTTTTTTTTTTTTTTCTTGTATCTTGGTCTTGGGATAATAGTAAACAATTTTTCCTTGTATACAAGGAGGAAGATGGAAACGAGGATGATCAAAAGTGACCTCATAACGAGAGTATTGGCATCTCGCTCAAAGTATTCTCTCTGGAAGACGCTCATCGTATTACTCATTGGAATGTCGGTGAATCTCCTCATTCTGTATTTCATTCGCCGCTTTAACTCCAGAGATAAGGGCGGGCGACACAGACACCGGCGTAGTAGTAAGGGCAGTTCCAGGTCGGATCATAAAAGACGGAATGATGGAAAGACAAAGTCTAATGATCCCAATGTACTTCTTCTACTTGGTATTCCAGGTAGTGGAAAGACAACATGGATGACGCAATATCTAGAACGGTGTGATCATTCCTACACTATTGTAAGTGCAGAAGCACTTCGAATAAAACTAACTGGTAAGCCAGACGACTTTTCACGGGAAGAAGAAGTACGTGAAAGTATGATAAATGATGTTGTAAATCTTTTAAAAGAGAAGCATAATGTTGTTCTTGATGATAGCTTAAGTGCCATGGATGAAACATTTCGCCGCCGCATTGTGGATGAGTCACCAACGTGTAATCGATATGTGAAGAGTTTCCCTATTAAAGCTATCTTCGCACGTCCACGTCTGTTAAAAGATATAGCGGAAGGCAAAATACATTTGTGTCCATCTAAAATAGAGCTAGAAGAAATGGAGATTGCTTTTGACAAGGCGCAGGAACTAGTGAAGAAGGAAGGATGGCAAGAACTTATGGAATCAACGTATTCACACTCAAAACGTTCGAGATAACTTCATATGCAACCTCCGTAAAGGGGATGGAAAGAGGAAGTAAGATATCCATTTAAAGATTATTATTATTATTATTTATTTATTTTATTTTATTTTTTATCCCCTTTCCGAAGAATAAGTTCAAATGAGAAAAAAAAGAAAAAAAAAGGAATGAGGAGACATTTAGAATAATTAAAAAATAAAAGTAAAAATAACTTGAAAGATGGAACGATGGAACGACGTTTGCTTTCTTTCATTTTTCTTTTATTTTCCTGCTTTGTAGATATATGTATATCTCTGTGTATGTGTTTATGGCGACTTTTTTTTTGTGTTTTCCTTTTTCCTGGCCACACTAAAGACAACGTGGTAATGTAGTGCTGGCAATGCATTTTTTTTTTTTTTTTTTTTTTTTTTTTTTTTTTACTAATTTCACAATGTGAAAGAAAAAACAAACTATAATTGTATATATTAAAATTGAATTCATGCTATAAGGTATTGTTTTGCACTCTTGCAATGTCTCATTACTGTTTTTATCTCTCTGATGTCTCATTCTTAACACTTCTCTCTTTGAAGGTTTATGATTTCTCCAAAGCTGCTGTGGTACAGAGCGCAAAAGCAACGAGATCAGGGAGACACTGATGATGATGATGATAATAATAATAATGTTTTGACTCAACATGTCCAATGGTTATCCGCTTTAAGAACAGGTATTTCTAGAAATAATAGGGAAACCTCCATAACTACGAGTGATAAAAATAATGACGATAAAAAGAGCCAAAATAAGTTAATTATACATGCTGCACACAGTCGACGACTTTATTTTCATTACGCACGAGAACTTTCGCAGTTTTCTGATGCGCATGATTATTATCGTCTAATGATGTGGTGCAATGATCAGCACGTTTTTATTCATCCAGCTGTACGTATGCACAGACGTCCGTCTATGTACCGTGATCATGTGTTCACTGTGTCTCGTGACATTGATAGACTTACTCCATTGATGGCTATTCCAGAATCTTTAGTCATTGGATTTAAAGACATGAATAATCTAGATGATTCAGAAAATAGTCTACGAGATGAGAAGAAGGAGAAAGAATTTAATGAACTGAATTCAGGTGAGCAAAGTGACGCAGATGTGTGTCAATTCTTCTTTGCATCACTTGGTATGATTGTCTCTGATCTTGTGACGGCTAAAAGTAGTCCACTCACGGATCCACGATGCGTCTTTGCAGAACTTCTTGGAAAAATTCGTACGTTAAAAAATGCACCATATTTTGAGGATGATGTGGTGTTAGACACAGATTCTACTGGTTTGGCAGATGTATTACTGCAGATGATTCGCAATTACATCAATGGTGGTCCTCTTGTAGGTAAATTAGACCGTACAGAACTTCGTTGGGCAGTTAGTGTCTGTCTTTCACATTCTACACCCTTGGTAATTGCTTCAGCGCGCTCTATTGGAGTAATTCCACTCGTACATTTATTTCCACATGGTGGAAAAGACACGAATGCGTTTGTAGTTGCTCGAACTAACCGCACTGCCTCTGCAGAACGAATTGCGGCGTATTTTGAAAAACATCATGGTTATGATTTCATGCATGATAAAGAAGGAAAATGGATCTACGTTGTACCATCAGTACCTCTTCGTGCTGGAGATGAAATTCGTCTTCAGGCCATGGCCCCAGTGTGTGGTAAAGACTCAGAAGCAGAAAAGATGTGGCGACTCTCATGTGCGGTTGCTCCAGAGGAATATATGACAACTGCTGCAGTATCGCAAATGCAGAAACTCTTAACTCAAGAACTCATGGATAAAGGAGGCGATATCTTGGCAGAAGGTGTATCTCAATAAGATATTTCCATATGCCGAAACCCTTTCCGCCTCCCCTCTCCAAAAAAAAAAAAAAACATATATATACATATATATGTATAGTATAACACTTCTTAATGTATTTTATATATGTATTCTCCTGTTTTTCGTTTTTTTTTTTTTTTTTTTGCTTCCTTTTATTTCTTTCTTTCTCTCTCCATCTCTTTCTTTCTTTCTTTTTGTTTCTCTTTTACTCCCAATCCCCACTCCCTAATTGTAACTCTCATGCAGTTGCTGTGACCCTTTTCCAACCCCCGCCCACCATCCCCACACTGCGGATGGCCAAGCGGGAGCGCAGCACCTCCCCGCCCAAACAGACGGCACGACGCCGAAAGCGGGGAGGTCGGCGGCGGCGAAAGCGGCAGCGCCACGGCGTCACACCGCCGGCCGTGCCGGCTTCATTTGCCTGCCATATTTGTACAAAAAATCACTGGACTGTCGCGTGTCCGCGGCTGCGACAATTCCCGCAGGATTTTCCGCTACTGGATAATAAGAAGGGATGCTGGAAGTGTGCCCAGCGGGGTCATCCATCCTCGCAGTGTCCGGTGAAGAAATACAGGTGCGCTGACTGTGGTGGATTGCACGACACTAGGGATTGTGAATTTGACCACAAAAGTGAGGAATGGCATGAATTCTACGATCCCATTACAAAGCATGTCTTTTATGCACATAGCGAGACTCAAGAAGTGCAGTGGACACCCCCACCGCACCGGTTGGATGTAGTTTTATGGTTTTGTTCAAATTGCAAAATCTTACTGCCAAATTCGGTTCAGGAGTGCGTTAAGTGTCATACGCCACGGCCCGAGTCGAAGGTGTCCCCCCCATCCTCCTCATCCTCTGACTCTTCTTCATGCAGCAATGATGAGGAAAGCGATGATGATGATGATGATGATGATGAATCGAGCAGTTCCTCAGGTGACGAGGAATATTAAATGAGTAGAGGAATGGAAGGGTTTTTTAGAGACATGCACCATTTCGTGTGCCCACAGAATAAAAATTTCTTGTTCTTCGTTCTTAATGTTTTTTTTTTTTTTTTCTATTTCTCAGATACTTATTTTTCTTTCTTCAACATTTGTACAGATATTCATTATCTGTCGCATAAAAGGATTTTCATTAATTGTGTGTTCCTATTTTCACGATTTAAGAAATATCTTCTTATTACATCTGTTGATTGTTTATTCACTCATCACTTGATATTTCTTCTTCGTATTGGTGGTGGTTCTTGTTATTATCATCATTATTATCCGCCATTGATATCATTATTTTTATCGTTGATCCTCTCTTTGCTTTCCTCACTATCCTCCAATCCTCTTGCTCTCATTCTCATCAGAGATGAGAGGGAAGATGTACCGTAATGAGTATAGTGTGAAATATCAACAGAATGCACACAGAGAAGTATCACGACGGAAGGATATTATGGTGGGTCTCTATTCAGTTTGTAGCGCCGATTCGCTATCTCATACGGATAATGAACCTATGAAATCTGAAATAAAATCATCTGATAGTCTTAATTCTTGGGCTAGTTTATTGGGTCCAGCACTACATTGTCTATCCTGTTCTCTACGGATTCAAATGACAGAAAAGACTGTAGTATATCGATTAAAAACAACATATCGTGTAGAAAATGACTCTCAGAGTCATTTTTCACTTTTTTTCCCTATTAGCGAATGCTCTGATGTTGTTACATCACTTTCAGCTAAGATAAACGGCAAAATAGTTATGGGAGAACTGGTTTGGCTTACCAGTGACCCGTTAGAGAAACCGATGCAGTTTATATCAGCAACCAATACAACTCCTGATACCCCGTTAGATAATATAGATAAAAATCCATCTAGTGTCTACAGCATTACACGTGATGCATCGGGTGTACTTGATGGCAGAAAAGCAGAAGTAGGGGTAGATGTTATTGTAGAAATTCAATGGATTACGAAAGAGATAACATGGAATGGACCCCATTCATTACAAGTTTCTTATCCATTTGCATGTGCACCTCGCTTGCCCGATGAAATTATTTGCCGTGGAGTATTCTCCTCACCTGTTAAAATGGTAGACAGTCCTAATTTTCGTGGTGTTGTTGCTCACGTGTTAACTTGGAAAATGCGTGGTAACAGATGCAAAGTCTCTTTAAAAAAAGAAAATAATGGTATTCTCCAACGATCTAAAGAGGATTTTTTTACCCTTACCTTTTATTTTCAAAATGCTTTTGATGGGGATCATGGTATTGGTACTTTTGGACCAGTCACTATTATACTTTTCGTTGGTATTCTACTATGGCTTCTGTTAACTAAAGATTTGATTCAGTGACAAAGGGTAATGTGTTTACCCTCTTACTTTCTTGGAAAGAGTATGCCGCACAATGGAAAAATAAAGAAAAAAATGACAAAGATAGAGTGGAAGAGAGTTAAATGAAGTTGTGATAGTGTCATGATATCTGTTTTTTATTTTTTATTTTATTTTCCCCTTTATTCTTTTTTTTTTTTTTCGTTGTTGCTGTTTTTATTATGCGGAATTTTTTTTTTTTTATTCTCCTGGATTCTTTGTAAGGAAGGGTAGTTAGAGCAAGTAAAAATGGAACCTTCATCAGATAATATGCCGTTTTACTCCTCCTTTGGTAACTTTGAACAGGGGTACAATCGTGAGGAGGCAAAAGCAGGAATGAATAATGCATTTCGTTTATATCAAAGGCAACGGCGGGGACAAGATCGTTACTTAAAGGAATTGATGCTTGGTACTGGTCTTGGTGTTGCTGCAGAGAAAAGTGTTCAAGATGGTATTTATGAACCACAAGCAGCGCTACATACTTCTTCTAATGGACCAATAGCAGCAGAAGCAGTTGTACTTGACTCAACAACAAAAACAATAGCTTCAGATAGCAAAAAAAATGAGGAGGGTACATCAGGAAAAAAATCCTCAGTAGCTGAGATGGAACGTTTGGGTACATTTCCTATAAACCTTATGAAAGAGTTTACTAAAGCAGAGGTAAAAGTGCAAAGTTTAAAGGAAGTTGAACAACAGCTAAAGGAAAATATTGCTGTCGCAGAAAAAAGTATTGCAGATTTGTGTAACCCTTTTACATTTGATGTTATTTTAGACTCTCTTTCTACTGCTCTTTCCATTGTGGAGGATGGTGATGCGAAAATTCAAGTAAAACTTTCTATTCAAGAAGAAGAAGAAGAGAAACTTGAGGGTGCAGAAGCTGTTATGGAGTTTGCTCAAAAATATATTACACCTATTGTACTTTCCCTAGTGACCACACTCCACGCGACTGAGTGGATGTTACAGTATACTATGACTTTCATTAATTCTCTATCTGCAAAGGATGAGGAAGAAGCATATTTACAGTTGGAACTTCTTGCACAATGTGTACGTTGGTTGGGTAAAATTGATCAATTCGTTGCCTTTTCTACAGCACTTGAACTAAAATGGGAAGTGTATGAAGCCTTTTCTCAGTTACGGGATTCAGCAGAGGAGCACATTGGAAGCGTTCTTGATAGTATTGAAGATGACTTAAATACTGTTTTGCTTGAATCATTTCCAAAACGACGTCAAGTTTTACTTCTTCATGAGGGAGGCATTCGTGAACGTCTACAAAAGGTGTTAACCTTTCTGCATGATATTGAAAGCAACTGGTTGCCTGATGTACAACTGCAGAGGGAATGGAAGGATGAATTCCTCACCCGCATGCTGCATCGTATCCACACCGTCATCGCCCCCGGCTTTCTCTCCGCCTCTTTAGGTTTTATTGACGAGTCTCTCTACAAACTCGTCCCGGACGATACGGCGGTGGGACGTTCAACGCAAAGTGCGAGTCGCCGCCACGGGCAGTCACCGCCGATGGTGTCAACCGCCACGCAGGTGGAGACGCGGCGTGTGACGGAGGAATTGAATTTTCAGCAAATTGCAGTCTCGGTGAAAGGCTCAGCAAGTCGAGTCGTTGGGATACAGTTATGTATGGCAGCACGCTTTGTGTTACGACAGTGCGATGCTGAGTATGATAAAAAGTGGGGATTTTCAATGAGTAATAGTCCTGATGCATATGATCCTGTGACGAATGCCGCTGGGGAAATTACACGCTTCACAAATTCAATGCAGCAACGGGCGAGGGAACGTGCGTCGCAGCAAATGGATGCTCTACGCTATTTTTTTCTTTAGTGACTCATCGTATATATATATTTATAAGTCTAGATGTGGATGCGTGTACATGTTTTTTGTATGTGTCTGAGCTACTTTATGTAGATTTTTGGAATTCAAGTATATATTTTTAAATAGTTTGCAAAAAAAAAAAAAAAAAAAAAAAAAGTGAAGGAAATATGGAAAACAAAAAAAGCAACCAAAAGTTATAAAGAGAAAATATGTTCTCTGAAAGTATATGTATGTATGTATGCATTCTTTCTTGATTTTCTCACATCTAATCACATTTTTTTTTTTTTTTAATAAAGGGTGAGGTGCTTAGTTATCCCTCATTACACATAAACAGGCATGAGGAAGAGTGAAATGAGCGCTCCCCAGTGTGTCTACGTTCTGTCTGATATTGATGGATTTAAATACAAACTTGTGATGGATGGGGATGTGCAATTGCTTACGACAGCAAAAGTGAAACGGTATATGCATAATGCTACTGGTCTAAGTCCACAGCATCAACAACTTTCTTTCAATGGCAGGGAAATGCAAGAAGGTGAATGTGGTAGTGACGTTGGTCTAACTGACGGAGCAGTATTGCGACTGAGGCATGTGAATGCAATACATCAAGTTTCTCCTAGTTCGAATAGCAAAAACATTAATACTTCAAATAAATTGGCGAACCGTTCGTTATCTTTGAGTACCACAGGTTTCCAAGGAGGACAAAATATAATGAAACCTGTTTCGTCAACATCTCTACCAGTTAGCACTTCTATTCCTGCATTGTCACCCTCACATAGTTCATCAACTAATAATAGGCATGACGACCGTAATGTACGTGGTGATAATGTAGAATCTGTACCCGTTGTTGCCCGTAATCGCGGGAGGTTGACAGAGTCTGTTTGTCGTGATTTAGAATTAGAGAACTCCCGATTGAGGGAGCGTTTATTAGAGACGGAGCGACAGCTTGCGAATGCCTGCTCGGACTGGCAGCTGCAGGAGGAAGTGACGCAGCTCCGCGCGACGGTGGGGCGACTGCGGGAGGAGCAGCGGGGGGCCGAACAGGCGGCAGCCGCGCAGTGGCGGGCGAAGGAGGAGGAACTCGTGCGGGAACTCGACCGGCTGCGGGAGGAGCGCCGACGACTGCGACGCGAACATTCTTTTTTTGAAGAGGAGCAGCGGGCACTCGTGCGGGGGCTGGAGGCGCAGCTGCGGGCACAGCGCAAGGAACTCGTAGAGCAGGAAGCACTGCTTCAACAACAACAACAACAAGAACAAGAAGAGCTGAATAAGCAACGCGTAACGAAATACACAGTTGCTGAAATGGTGCAACGCAGTTTGACACAACTCGCACGGGAACTTAACATTGACTCTTTAAAGCTGGACGATAATGATACATGCGTTGTGCCGTTAGACGATGGACTTAATATGCTCATTACCCTTGATACTGCAACCGAGCGTGTGTTCATGTACGCTACTATTGCGAATACCTTGCCATCATGCAATGAGCAGAGATTACAGTTGTACGAGTTATTGTTAGAAGGAGCATTGTTGGGTCGAGAGATGGCTGGAGGGGGCGTCGGTGTTTGCACACAGAACAATCTTATTATTATGGATATCTGCGTTGATGTTGCCCACGCAGATGAGTATGCCTTAGCTAGTGTTGCCCGTCCATTTATGGCGTCTGTCAAACACTGGGTGAATATGGTAAAGAGTTCATTTTCGCAAGAGTGTTAAACACTTTTCTTCTATTATATTGATTATTATTGCTATTTTTAAGATTATTCTGTACGGTTGTATAGCGGAGGGTTTTTTATTTCCGTATCTCTCTCCTTCTCTAATACACTGAAGACATCGTATTAATTAGTTGGGTAGTGGGTGAGGGGAGAGAACCCATTCACCCTCCGTTTCAGTTTCCACTGAATAGAGACATATTTTTCTTTTTTTTTCCCCTCTAACTATCTAAATATCTATATACATATATATATATATATATGTCTCTATTTCTGTATATGAATCTGAGGGTTTTATTCTTATTTTCTGCTTGCGTTTTTCTTGAGACTCGAAAGGTGGGAAATGGACAGAAAAAAAAAAAAAAAAGCGTATGCGTGGTGTGTCACTGAATTTTTTTGGTGATGGAAACGATGAAACTATTTTCCTTTGTTAACCTTCTAATTACCCTTAGCTCTCTTTTCCCTCTTTTAATAAGTTAAGACCTCTTGTTTTTATTGTTTTTTTTTTTTTTTTTTTCTTCTATTATGTTTTCTTTTTTATTTTGTCGGATGTGGTATATTTCTTAGAAGGAGTTGGTGGATATGGAGACTCGTTCTTTTTTAGTGCACTGTGGGGAGCCTTTCTTTGGTGGTCCATACGTCGATGTGCTACCGCCATCATCGGCTGCTTTTGTTAATGAAAACCAAGTAGGCGGTAAAGTGCTCGGCAGGCACTCACCAGAATTATACTGGCGAATAGGTAACGACCCCCGTTGTTCTCGGCGAATGATGTCCATTACTGCGGAGGAATTGGCAACAACAATAACAACAACAGGAGGAGGAGGAGGAGGAGGATTGGCAACAGTAAGAGAAAACGATGAGTTTTCTTCTGATCGTGTACACCCACATGTAGCACAACGGCTTGTATTAAAGTGTCTCGGCAAAAATACTTTAACTGTGGTACGTTCCAAGGCTACTTCAAAATCTTTAAGTCAAGGAAGTCAAGAAAGTCGCTTTCTTCTTCATCAATCGGATTCTATTACACTTCGTGTTGGTGATAGTATTGGTATTGGTGATAAAATATGGATGCAGGTTGTTTTGGCTCATATTATTGTAACAGATGAGGTGAAAGAACCAGTGGTGTTACCATATGAAGAAGATAAGGAAAAAGGTGAAGATGCAATCTATGTCCCGGCTTGCAGAAATTTTTACCCCTACTCAAAAGAACCACCTCCTCCTTCAGTGGTGCGTACAAGTGTAGCGTGGTCAAAGCTACCATTTACTGTGAGGTCTTCGCTGGTACACTCTGTATGGAAGCAGCAGTTAGCTGCATTCTCTCGAATTACAGGAACGGTAACAGTTTCTCTGGCTGGTGGAGACACACCAGTCTTTGCCTCTTATGAAGAAGCAAATAAAGAAGAAGAGGCAGGAGCTGGTGCTGCTGCTCTTGATCCCTTTGCTGTCACAGATACATCACCGCAGCATGATATGAGGGGAATAATTGGAGGAGACGGAGATACTGGAAACTTACGTAGACAACGTGTTTCATTGTCTAAAGGTCGAGTTGGAGAATCACAACTTATTTCACTAGATATGGCGCCAGTACAAAAGAAACGACGTGCTTCCTTCTCAGAAGGAGGAGGAGGAGGAGGAGGAGGAAGCGAAGTTTTGGAAGGTGCAACTCCCATCTGTTTGGTAGAAAGTAATACCTACTATGATACCTATGATGAACGTTTAGATGAAACGGTTTGCGCATTAGAGAAAAAAGCTGCTGTCATTAACCGTCTTATAACTGTTGGGCCATCGGCGTCAGTGTTATTAGGTGGTAGTCCTCCACCTGATGAAGGATCTAGAGAACCTAAGAAAGGAGGAAGTCCTCGTACAACTTCTCTCGCGGTCAGCAGAACTCAATTGCGACTTGGTAAAAGGCCACAACAGCAGCAAGAAGAGACCGGACATGGGGATGGTACAACTGTGAACCCGGCAGGTGATGAGTCGCAAGTAGTGTACTATCGCCATTAGAAGTAGTTACAGTTTTTTTTTTGTTGTTGTTGTTGTTGTTGTTCTTGTTTCTTCTTTAATTTATCATTTTCTTCAATTTCTGATAAAACGGATTGCATGAGAGGGTGTATTATATAGTATGACTTGTTGATGGCTTTCTGTGTGGCTCTTATCTCTGGTAAGAGAAAGAAGAAATGTTTAGTTACTTCTATTTTACCAAAGCCAAAAAAACGAAGAAGTTTAAGATAGGAACAACAACAACAAAAAAAAGACAATAATGCTCCTCAAACTGTTCTTGTGAAAGATATTTTTTCTCTTTTTTTTTTTATTCTGTTTATTGCGTTATTTGTTTTTATTTTTTATGCTTTCTTTTTCTCAATTTGCTTGTATTCTGCACGTTGCGTTCTCTTTCTTGTTTCGTTTTCTACTTCTACTACTATTTTTTTATTTACTTAAGTCACACACACACATCCCATCTGTGCGTCTCTGTGGTGAGACGTCAGAAGGTGAGCACGGTTGCAGAACTTACAAAAGCTTGCAGCAACAGCAACAGCGGCGACGACGTAATAAAAAAAAAAAAAAATACATACAGAGTTAAAGAGGTATTGAACGAGGGATCTCGCCCCACTCAACCCCCTGCACCACCACAACCACCACCTTTTTTATTTGAATCCAATCTCCTCAAGCGAAGAAATAGAAGGTCTGTGAATAGGGAAAGCAGTTAATTGAGTAAGTAATAGGAAAGGACTCTGAGAGAGAAACAGAAGGAGAGAGAGAGAGAGAGAGAGAGAAGGAAGGTGGGGAGAAAAAAAAGAATAAATACCAAAAAAGTTAAAGAAAAAAAAAAGAAAATAAAAGTAATTTTGCAGAAAGTAGTGAACAGAACCCATTAAAGAAAAAAAAAAAAGAACAAGAGCGATGCTGCGTGTTTTCTCTGGCAGTTGTCTCTCTTTAGAGGATATGGAGACTGTTCGCCGCTCTAATTTAGTGAAGAGACCACATATATTGGGACCTGGTGATGATTTCTTCACAGAGGATGGAGAACCTGTTCGTCCCCAACCTGCTGCTCATACTCTTCAGAAGGTGTTTTCTGGAAGCGCATTGGATCTCAACGCAATGAATGGGGATATACTCTCAGAGGAAGAGATACCTCCTTTCTCTGGTTCTCGACACCAACTGCAACAACAAGAACAGCAAGTGCAAAATCATTACCAATTGCCGCAATATTATCAACAACAAAAACAGGAGAGATCCCCAGGTACTACGGTATCAACTATTCTTAATCAGTTATCATCTGAAAGTGAAAAGGAACGAGCAAAAAGTGTCAAGAATAAGACGAACGTACTGGTTATTGGTGGTATAGGATATATTTCTAGCCACATTGTGGCAAAACTCCTAGACGCTGGGTATACTGTACGAGTTACTGTCCCTGATACCCTAAGCCAACAGGAGCGAAACGAACTTTATTCCATGGACCGTGATTCAGAGCAGCGTCTCAGTATTTTTGAAGCAGAGATGACGAATTCAACCACATTACGTGATGCGCTACGTGGCTGTAAGTACGTAATTCACTGTGGCTTTCAAGTAAATTATGGTGTGAAGGATCCTGTTGCATTACATGTGAATGCCGTTCAAGCTCTTTTTGATGCAATAAGATTGGCTGGTAAATCAACAGTGAAGCGTGTGGTGATCACCGGCGCAGCGACCTCTGTGTTTCACGTAACAGATGCCGTTCCCCCCAGTGGTGTATTTGATGAATCCTGCTGGAATACTGTGGCTACCGCTGCTACCGATCCTATTCCCTATGCTCGCATTTGCTTTGAAAAGGAAGCATGGCGTTTAAAGCAGATGCTTGGAGTAGAATTGGTAGTTATTTTACCATCTATTACAATTGGACCAAGTCGTACAGATGAGATTAGCGATGCTATGCTACGTTTACAAGAGTTAGCTACAGCCTCGCCAACTGTTCCATTTGCACCCAACTTGTATTGGAATTACGTAGATGTACGCGATGTTGCTGAAGCGCATGTTCGGGCTTTGGAGTGTCAAGAAGTAAAAGATCAGCGTGTTATAGTCTCTAATGGGTGCTTTAGTTACGCCGAACTCTCAGTAATGATTAAAGAAGCTTATCCGCATCTTACTCCCCCTACACGAACGGCAAACACGTTCGTAACACTTCTTGTTGGGGCTTTTCATTCACAAGTGAAGTTAAGATTTTTATGGCGCACTACAGGTGTTCGCAAGGTTCTTGATGCGCATAAGGCTATTTCAGAGCTTGAAATGAAATTTATTCCCATGAAAGAAACGATACGAGCATCCATTGATCAAATGATTCGTGCTGGAGAAGTGAGAGCTCCCAATGCCCCTCGAGCTGTGCGGAATCCCACACTGCTTTACGTGGTAAGCACCGTTGGTGTCGCAATCACTGCAGCAGGTGTGGCAACATGGGTTCTAGCACGATGGCGAAAGAATAGATAATGTGTTGTAACAGCTCTTTCTTTCTTTCTTTTTTTTTTTCTCTACATCAGTACATTTCCGCTTTATTATTATTATTATTATTATTATTATTATTATTATTATTATTATTATTATTATTATTATTATTATTATTATTATTATTATNTTTATTATTATTATTATTATTATTATTATTATTATTATTATTATTATTATTATTATTATTATTATTATTATCATTATTATTGTTTCTATTATTTTTATTCTTGTTATTGTTTTGCTGTTGTTGTCATGACTCTTTCTGGTTTCTTTTCTCTTTTTCTGTTCTGTTTTCTTTTTCTGATATTATTATTATTATTATTATTATTATTATTATTATTATTATTATTATTATTATTATTGTTATTGTTATTATTATTTTGTGGAGTGTGCCAACAGTCTTATTGAGTTGCATTTGTTTTAGTTGGTGTTATGGTTTTTCCAGATGCAAGCACGTAAATGTGTTTCTCTTTTCTTGGGCGTACACCTGCAAGAGTGAGAACAATAAAAATGGAAGAACCGAAAATGGAGGCATACGAAGCAAAAGAAAAGAAAAAAAAAACGTAAGCAAAAATAAACTAAACAATTGTTGAATGGAAAAAAAGGAATGAGTAAATGCATAATTAACTGAGGAAATCAAAAAGAAAAAAAAGGCTAACAAGAGTACGTTGCTCCTGGTATTTCACTCGAGTGAATTTCCAGCGAAAAGCAATAAATCAAAAAGAAAAATGAGGTGTGAAAGGGAAAAGGTGACAAAAAAAAAGGAAGAGAACTGATGTTGTATATATACATATATATATATATATATATATATATATATATTTCTGTGGGGGTGGATGTGTGGAAGGGCAGCGAGAGAGAAAAAGAGAGAGAGATGGGGAACAAAATCAAACCAAAAAAGACGGAATAAGTAAGTGTAGGAGTAAGGAGGAATAAGAGAAAAAAGAAACTGAAGAGTTGTGACACGGGACAAGGCAAATCCTTTTCCTTTAAAAGTGAAGTAAATGCTAGAGAAAATACGAATCATTGAGTATCATGAGAGTTTCCGCTCTGATAGTGGTAATACCAGTAATGGTGAGGTGTTGTGGGTGGTGGTGGTTCTTTCATCACTCTCACGCTCAAGTTTTTTTTTTTTCTCTTTCATCTATGTTCTTTTAAAATTCTGAAAAGAGTGTGCATCCGGATAAGACTAAATAAATGAGAGAATAACTCAATTACGTTCTTTGTTTTATATTTATTTATTTTTTTTTTTTTTTACTACTTGATTTGTTTCTTAAAAAGTGTGCACATTGAAAGGTGTTCAGTAAAGATTTTCTTTTTTTTATTTATTTAAGAATAGCTGTTGCCCCTTCAACGTTCAAAGAATGGCTAGATAAATTTTGGAAGACGTTTTTATTTGTTTGTTTTTGTTATTCGCGATTTTGTACGCGGCAATGAGACCACCTTCTGGGGATATCTTTACAAACATAAGTTTCTCAAAGTCCCTTTTTCTATATTATTGGTGGCCTCTCCTTGAATGGCCTGAATATTGTATTCTTGGACAGTGAAAGCAGTGTGGGTCTTGACAAGATAACACAAGTATGTGGAATAAATTTACAAAATAACGTGCGTCTGTCAAGCCGTAGTTTAAGGTGAGTTAACTCATTCCACTTGAGAATACGATGAGGAGAGTAGAGTCAGAAGGAGAAACGACCCACTAACTAATGTCAGTCTTTCCAGTATATATATATTTACACAAAGGTCACAGTTGGGAGTAAAAACAATATTCTTCATGTTGTCGTTCAGCTAGGGTAATCGCCCAAATCCTCTATGACAATAGCATGCAAAGGAATGTGGGGTGTTTCAGGATAAGCCGATGGAGCTCTAAGATATGAAATAGTCTTTTAGGGTGGTGTGGTTCATTTTTTTTTTTTTTTCTTTAACCATTGAGGTAAAAGTTTCTTTCATAGTGAAGAAAGATTTGAATTTTTTTTATATGTTTCTCTATTGAACTCTGATACTTTTTTCTTTTTCCTTCTTCTTTCTTTTCACATGCATGCGTATAGATAGAGATCGATAGACACAGAGTTACCGTAGGCGCCTCATCTGTAGATGTGGGGTGGTGTGAAGGCGCGGGGGCATCACGGCGACGTGTTCCGCGCGTGGGGCGGCAGTCAACCGCTGGAGCCGCTCCGCCGCCGGTTGTACCGCGAGCCGCGGCCGTGGCACCTCGCGTGGGCCCTCCACCGCCACCGGCACCTCCTCGCCGACCGCCACTGCGCCCGCCTGCTCGCGTGGTGTGCGACGGTCGTGCAGCTCGAGCAGCGGCGCATCCCGCGGCGGCAGGCGTACATGTACACCCAGCAGGCCTTTCAGGTGATGGCCCACAGCCATAAGGTGGGGGCCGAGACATATCAGGAGTTCTTTCGCTTGTGCGCGGTGGGTCGGGACTTGACAACGGCATTTCGATGGCAACAGTATCTGGTGGAGACGGGAGAATTATCCCCACTCTCCCACTACACCTGGCTTCTTCACATTGCCTCACTCTCACCAAGTGATGAAAGTGCAGAAGATATGGCAGAAGCCGTCTGGGAAACCTACTTGGCTAGATATTGTTCACAAGTAAAACATGATATTACTGGGGAAACTAAATTTGCACATTATCAACCTTCAAATGATGATGAAGCAAAACAATTGGAAAAATTATTTAAAGCGTTTAAAGTTTTGCGTCCAAAAATAGTGAATGGTGCAAAACCAGAACTTATGGAATTTATTGATGCTCTTCCTGAAAGTGAAAACTTAGACGTTTGTTGTAGTGCATGGCCGACTGTTAGTCGACATCATACTTTTCCTCACTTAGAGGCAGGAGTTCCTTGGACTTCACCAACAATCTCTCATCCTCATCTTCGGGATTCAATTCTTCATGAAAGTTTTGTTTCAGATTTAAAATCTGCTGCTTTTTCAAATAATGTGAAACGTGTCGTATCACTTATACAAGAGTATCGAGAACGAGTTGCAGAAGAGAAGGAAAAAGCGAGTGCGAGAAAATATTTAGCTGGTGAACGTGATATTTGGCGTGATTTCTCGGATCCTTCTTCATTAGCCTTTCGTACCTCACTTGTAGAGGATGGTGGTGTTACATCTGAGTTATATCATTACTTAATTGTATCTATGTCCGTGAGTCAACCTTCTGTGGCGCTTCGAACACTTCGCCGTATGCAAGAGGCAAATCTACGTGTTCTTGATGTAACAAGGGCAGTTATGATTGTAAGGTGTGAAGGATCACCAAAAGAACAATTACAAATGTTTCAAGAACAATTACAAGAAATTAGAGAACGACAAAAAATTGAGGAAGATTATGATGTTACAAGAGAAGTTGAACTTTACTGGAAATTTTGCTACACCGATTTTTTTTACTATCGTAATGCATTAAATCGTAGAGATTTTTATCGAATGCTTATGGAAGGTCTTGGACCACGAAGAGTACAACAATTCATCTTGGATGCTCAAGTCTATGGTACTTGTTCATTTGAGGATATAACAGTCCTTGATGAAGCTTTTCGAAATACAGCTGCAATGTATTATAGAAATTTTATCGGAAATGAGGTAAATAAGGCATTGGATGAAATCACTAAACATATTCCAAAGCTAGATATTAGCTTGATAGGTTCTATTCAACATTTTAGTGATTACGCACTATCTAGTGGAGATTTTATTGCTACTGATATTTCTACGTTACGTACCAAACTTGTGGGATTTAGTACTATTTGTGTACTTGATTCATCTTTTGTGGAAACAAGTGAATATTTTCTTACTGTGGGAAAGACTATAAACGCTAGTAATAATAATAGTAATAGTGGTGGTGGTTCATCTCTGGTTTTGATCCCTTATTGTTGTTTACAGCAATTGGCAACAACTATTGAAGAGAGTAAAGATTATATTTCTTTTGATCCTGCATTACAAGAAGCTAATAAGTCTGAACCATTTATTGCATCACAGCGTCTTCGAAGTTTATTCGCACTTCTTGGAAATAAAGAAAAGGATGTAAAGACAAGAATTCTTCACTTTACAGAGTCTCTACTTTCTCATGCTATACCAGAAACTACTCTAAAAACGATAAATCTTGATCCTGCTAAATCAGATAATGATCATTTATTATTAGTTGTTGCGATGATTCGTGCAATAGCGGATAAAGATACAAATGTAGTACTTTGTACAGATGATCCAAGTCTTGTGAAACAACTTCAGAGTAGCAAACTTACTTCTTTATTTTCAGGAAAAATATCTGTTATGTCATCTGAACCTCCAAAGAATATAGTACAAAAAGAAGAAAATCTTATAAATGATAATCCTGATATGTGTATTTTAACAGAATTTCAACCAAGGTTACAGTTTTCAAATGCTATTTCCACTCATGTACCCTCAAACATATCTCTGAAACCTTCCCCGATAGAGACATTGACAGAGGATACAGAGGTATTAGGCAGTGCATGGTTAGATATGTTAAATGAAGAAGAAGAAGAAAAAGAAGAAACATTACATTCTTCTCCTACAGAAGGGAATACTTCCACTACCAATACTACTACCAGCAGCAGTACAAATCTCACTTATAACCAGAATAGAGTAAAACATGAAAAGAATTTAGTGCAAACGGTAACGAATAAAGATGAAGAAAAAATTGCCCAAGAATATGAGAAACTTATGAATTTGTATGATTCTGAGCATGCTGTTGCTCCTGTAGGTGTTCTTATGGCTAAAGCCTCATCTTTAGGATCAGTATTTGATCAATTTGACACAATTGGGCCCGACACAGAAATGGATCAAGCCATGTCAGCTCCCGCACCACAGAGAGAAATCGGTCAAGATAAGGAAAAACCGCGTCGACGATCTCCACTGGAAAGGGAAGATCTTCGTAACCGTGGAGCATCTAATAAAGAGCGATTTCGCCTTGCTCGTCGATTAGGCAACATCTCTGGAGGACGTGTTCCTTTTAATCTACGCTATCGTATTCTTGAGGTAGATATTACAGATGAGCGTGGGAAACACTATAAGGAAGCCTATAAGGAGGGATTGGAAAAAAAGCGTGCAAGCTTCAAACGCAAGTTTCAGCGTTCCTATTTGGTTGGTAGTGCTCCAGAGTAATTATAATCTGAGGATATTATTATACGTATGCGGATTAAGTTTAAGACTATAATGGTTGGGGTGGAAGAAGGGAGTTGGAGATTCTCTCTAAAAATAAAAAATAAAAAGGCATCCTTAGATAAGAATTTCCTTTACATTACAGATATCCTTTTATTGTTATTGTTGTTCTTTGTTCGTTGTTCGTTGTTGACTTGGGCAATTAATTTCTTGGTTTTTTTTCGGTATTCAAATTATGTTCTTCCTTTAACGGACTAGTGTTGACACACTTTTGATAGTATATCTATTATTACAAATATATATATGAATATATATATATATATATATATATTTATTTATTTATTTATATATGTATTCAATTCTTTCATGTAACACTAATTTAAAGTTTTTTTTTTTTTTTGTGTTCCTTACTTTCGTTTGTTTTCCTCCCAAATGGAATTGAGAGAAATGCATACTGAAACACTTTCGTATACTGTAGATGCCAAACCGTCTACGTTTGAGTATTACACGGAGCGTTACTATCATCAGTATCTTGTGAAAAACTGTAAAGGTGTGGAAAATAACAACTGTAGATTACTAGTTCATAGCAATGGTCTTTGTATTCTTTGTATTGATGAATCACACGCCGCAGTTCGTTCGTGTCGAGAAAAAAAAGTTACAGCTGAGGAAAATGATTCAGGAGTAAATCTTCATATAGCTTCAGTAACGTTTGGATCAGGTCGTGGTAACTCGAAAATGACCCCAGAAGGTGTTCGAGTAGTTGGAAAACGCAAGAAGAACGCTATTATATGTCAAGAAGATACTAAAGTTTGTGTAGTGACAATGTCAGATGGAACTGTGTATAATATTCCCGCTTGTATAGATGGTTTTGTGTTGGAGCTGAACGCGGCAGTTCAAGAACGACCCTCACTACTTGTAGAAGCACCCGTAACAGAGGGATATATTGCTATTATATCCCCAAACCATTCTAAAGTGAATTACAGCAAATATATAAAGATTTCTACAGCAACCGGAGGAGATATTATGGATGAGGATGAAGAAGATTTGGTGAGAAATGGGACCGATTAAACAAATACAATTATATTTAATCCTTTAAATGACTTTTTCTTTTTCTCTATAATTCTTGTAAATGTGATGTAGTTAAATAATTTATATTGTGTATAAAGAATAATCTACTTAAAAAAAAAAAAAAAAAAACTCTCTTTCCTTATGGATTTCTTTCTTTCTTTTTTCTTTCTGGTACACTAATGAACGCAATGATGACTATGATCCTATCAAAGAATATTCATCAGTGTAAAGAAATTGCAAATAAAAATAACGAACAGGATGAATGAAGCTCAACTGACAATAGCCAAGAGTTACGATGGCCTTATTGATGATTATGTTACAGATATGGATGCTTTGGAACAGGCTCGAGAGGATCTAGGTAATATGAATTGTCAATACAGGTCAAGTAAACTACATCGAACATTAGTAGATTTGCAGGATACTGTAAACAATTCTATTAACACAGATGTGCATGTTGGTACAGTCTGCATACCGGCTGCTGATGCCGTTATAACAGTGGCGGGAATGTCCATTGCGTTGCCTATACCTGCTGAGAAGGTAACTTCACTCTACACTGCACTAAATCCATCTTTAGTCGGTGTAGAGATGCGAGGTGATGTCTTTGATACCAATCTACGTATGTCGCACGAAGCACCTGCAGACTCTATGCAAGTGAGTCATTCTATTTCAACCTTTGATTTTCCTTTTGAATTGGAGGAGATTCACCAAAAGATATGTCCCTCTGCTGTATCTATCCGTGCTGAATTGTATAAATTGGTTATGTACGGAGTGGGTGATTTCTTCGTACCCCATCGTGATTCCATGTCATCTGCTGATATGTTTGGTTCCATATCTATGCAGCTTCCTATTTTGTCTGAATCTGGTACTAGTCAGGAACGTACAGTTTCAAATAGTGTAAAAGATCCTGGACAACTTGTTTTTTATATTGGTCGAGAAACACCAGAATGCAATTGTGAAAGTCTTTCTACATCCTCCATGTATAGTGATTGCTACAATGCAGATGTCCAGTGGGCACATACAGTTGATCTTGGTTCCCTTGAGAGAATTACAACAACAGATGGTAATATTGCTATGTCTTTTGCGGCGTGGACGGGTGATGTTTTACATGAAGTCCGACGTGTTGAAAGTGGATACCGTGCCGTTTTGGTTTATCGACTATACAAACAAGGACATAAAGAATCTTATATTCCTCTTCCTCTACGTCTTTCTGTAGAAGAAAAGATTATGTCTGTGTTCAACACTATGAATAGTGAAGCCCATCATCATTTTCGTTATCTTGGTGTAATACTTCGACATGCTTATGCCCCGGCGGGTCTTCAACCGGAATATCTTAAAGGAATTGATGCTGTAATGTACAGTATTGCTTCAAAAACGAATAAATGTCTTTTATTTAATGCTCATCAAGTGGATGAGGGACCACTTGCAACTCGTTATAATCTACGTAAAGATGCCGTTACATATTTGATGTTTCTCACTACAGAAGTTGTACCGGCAGATGTGGATTTCTCCAGTGATGATGCCCGAGAAAGTATGGCTAAACATTATAAAGTGTTTACCAATACCGCATGGATTCAATTGGGGTTTGGCACTTTAGTGGGCGGAGGCTTCTGCTTTGGTAATGTCACTACAAGTACAGATTGGTGGTATCGTTCTGCCGTTATGATTATTACGCAAGAGCCGAGTCTATGGATGCGTAGACGTCCTTTGTTTCTTATAATGACCAAAGGATCAAGAACCATGCGTCAATTAAATTCACTCTTGGAAGTGATGAAAACGATCGCTTCCTTTCTCTAATTTTTTTTTTTTGTTGTTGTTGTTCACCTGGGGAAAAAAAAAAAAGTACATGGCCAATACGAGAAGATTAAATTAAATCATTTCTTTTTATTACTGATATGATAACGATAATGGTGAAAGAAAAGCTCGTATAATGAATTGCTTTCTTCATATATATATCTTTTTGTTTTTGCTCTGTTTTCGTAGTTGATAAGAGTACAGTTTGGGATTCTTTTTTCTTTGTATTTCTTTCTTTCTGACTCATACTTTTTTTTTTTCAACACGTCTTATTCTATGGGGTTTCTATGTATTGTTTTATTTATGATTTTCTCTTGATTTATACTCTCCGTATATCCATTTCTCTTTCTCTCTCTCTCTCTCTCTCACTCTCTATCTTTGATTTGTTTCCTTGTGGGAGAAGCTATGCTTGAAGGTGTAGAGATGCAAGCAATGTATAGTTCTGCGTCTGAAGAGAGAAGTCCAACGGAGGCTGCGTTGTGTCTGCCGGTTCCAGCCCGGCGGCCTGTGAGTTACGCACAGACGCTGCGGCATTGGCTGAACTGCGATACCGCAAGTGTGAATGAGGCTCGAGTGATTGCTATTGGCTGCACACCAGCCGTGTGGTCCGGGAGTGGGTTTCCCGATAACGCCGTGAATAATAGACGTTATTCACTTCTTACATTTCTTCCACTTTCGTTATTTCATCAGTTTAGAGCTTTCTTTAATATATTTTATCTGTTACTTGCTTTTTCACAGTTGATTCCAGCATTAAAGGTGGGATTTCTCATTACATACTTCTCACCATTAGCACTTGTGGTGTCGCTTTCACTCATAAAAGATGCTGTAGATGATATTAAACGATATAGAAGAGATCGAACAGCAAATGAAGAAAAATTTGAAAAATTACTTCCAGATGGTCGTACAGGCATTATAAGAGCTTCATCTATTCAAGTGGGTGATTTATTAGTTCTTCGACATGGACAACGTATTCCAGCCGATTGTGTTCTTCTTCGTTCATCAGAGAGTAGTGGAACATGTTTTCTTCGAACCGATCAATTAGATGGTGAGACGGATTGGAAACTTAGGTATGCTTTAAAGGCAACACAACCACTTGGTGATGAAGCACTTAGTCAATATCGAGCAAATATACACTGTGAACCTTTACATAAAGATATTTATAAATTTGCAGGATCTTTAGAAACCTCAGGTGGAGAATCTGAAGCTATTTCGCTTGATAACACACTTTGGGCAAGTTGTGTAGTAGCATCAGGTACACTTGTGGCTGTGGTAATTCATACAGGAGTAGATACACGTAGTGCTATGAATTGTAGTAAACCTTCAACCAAAATGGGTCTTATTGAAAGTGAATTAAACTTTATTGGAGCTTTATGCTTTTTATTCCTTGTAATCATATCATTTCTACTAGTTGGACAACAAAGATTTGATGGTCAATGGTTTGTTATGTTTCTACGTTTTTTAATTTTACTTTCTGCTATTATTCCTATTTCTATGCGTGTGAATGTGGATGTTGGACGTATGTGGTACTCTTATGAGATGTATCGTGATAGTAAGATACCTGGTACAGTAGTTCGAAATACAAATATTCCAGAGGAACTTGGTCGTTTACAATATTTATTTACCGATAAAACAGGAACATTAACAAAGAATAAGATGGAGTTTCGTCTATTACAAGTTGCTGCTGATACAATATTAAATGATCGTGAAGTGGATCGTTTTAAAAAGATTATAGCTTCTTTTTTTAATGAAAAATATGAATCTGAAAATAATGATTTGGTAGATAGTGGTAAAGGTAACTATTTATCTCTTCAAAGAAATTTAATGCGAGATATTACATCTGTTGGTGAAGCTCTTTTGGCTTTAGTATTATGTCATAATGTGAGTCCTGTAATGGAAGAGGGAAAATTGGAATATCAAGCCTCATCACCCGATGAAATTGCTTTTGTAAAATTTTGTAGTTTCCTTGGAATTACTCTCATTCATCGAGATGTAAATAGTATGCAATTTACCACACCAGGTGGAAAAACAATAAGTTATGATATTATTAAAGCTTTTCCTTTTACTTCTGAACGAAAATGTATGGGAATTATATTACGTGAATCATCAGAGAGAGATACAGGTATATATAAATATATTATGAAGGGAGCTGATTTTAAAATTGCAACTGTTGTTCGTTCTTCTGATTGGTTACAAGAGAGTTGTCAAGAATTTGCTCAAGTAGGACTTCGAACGTTGGTATTTGCACAGAGAACATTAACAGAGGAACAGTTAGAAATTTTCTTAACTCGATATAATGAAGCCAATATAGATTTGGGTAATACACGAAATGAATCTATAGAAGCAGCAATGAGTCTTATTGAAAAAGATATGAAACTCATTGGAGTTACGGGTGTAGAAGATGAATTGCAAGATGATGTTACCAAATCTCTTGAAACATTAGGAATGGGAGGTATAAAAGTATGGATATTAACAGGAGATAAAATAGAAACAGCTACAACTATTGGTCGTTCAACAAGACTAATTCCACGTAATGGTGTTGTAGAAGTAATGACGACTCGTACATTAGAAGAAACGGAGAAATTCTTAGATACTCTTCAACTTCGTCATACCACCGTATCTAATGATTTATTTTTTGAATCCCCATGGACACTTGTTTTGGATGGTACTTGTTTATCTTTATGTCTAACAGAACCCATCTCAAAACGTTTTGTAGAAGTTTCCAGATCTGCCTATTCTGTTATTTTAGCAAGATGTTCACCTACACAAAAAGCAGATGTTATTCGTATGATAAAAAAATATTCCAATAAAAAAGTTCGTATGGCTGCAATAGGAGATGGAGGAAATGATGTAGCTATGATATTAGCAGCAGATGTTGGGATTGGAGTTGAGGGAGTTGAGGGAAAACAAGCCAGTATGGCTGCAGATTTCTCTATTACGAAGTTCTCACATTGTGTGCGGCTTATTATATGGCATGGGAGAAATTCATATCGCCGTACATGTCGAATGAGTCAATTTATTATGCATAGAGGAATGGTGTATTCAATAGTCCAAGCATTCTTTTCTCTTCTCTTTGCAGGAACGACAATGTCTGTTTTTAATGGTTATCTTCTTATGGGGTATAGTACCGTTTTCACTATGGCACCAGTCTTTGCATTAGTTCTTGATGAAGATATTAAAGAAGAAGATGTGAGTGAGTTTCCTCAATATTATAAAGAGTTATTAAAATCACGTTCTATGAATACACGGTCTTTTTTACAATGGGCATGGATTTCTATTTACCAAGGAGGAGTTATGATGTCTCTTTCACTTCATTTGTTTTCTGGAGAAATGTTTCATATCATTACTATCGCCTATACCTCTTTGCTTTTAACAGAACTTGTTATTGTTGCGAGTACAGCACATCTTAGAATTTTATGGACCCAACGTCGTAATCATTTATATCTTTTTATAGCAGCTGAATGTTTCTCTTTAGCTGCCTACTTTTTTGCAGTTTTATTACTTCCAGAAACGATGGATAAAAGTTTCTTTTTTTCATGGAGTTGTTGGTGGAGAGTTTCAGTTATCTTATTGGCTATTGTAGGTCCTATTTATATCTTGTCGATTTTGAGTAGTTTTGTATTTTTCAATCACAGACATACATATACTTTAGCCTGAGACACAAAAAAAATTATTGTTCCTCTGTTTATATATCTATATATATAAGCACTGTTAAATGTGAGAAAGTTATTTGGGTCAAGTATATTAATATCACTGTCTTCAGTTGTGATAATAGGTGTGTGTGTGTGTGTAGGTAAGAATCCACCTTCTCTCTTCTTTTTTTTTTTGTTATCTTTTTTTCTTTATGGATTTATTTCTTTTTTGTTTTTATTATTATTAACACTAATGTGCTTTTTGGTGTAATTTTGCTATTTTATGTGAGTCTGACCTCCCCCCTAAAGAAGATATTGAAAGACTAATGTTGTGTATAAGATTTTTTTGCTTTTTTTTGCTTTCTTTGATTAATTTCTTTTTTTTTTTTTGTTTTCTTCTATTTTTATAGTAACGGAAAAGGGTGGAATGTGGGCACGTTGGTCTTTTGTGGCTTTCCGCTTTTCCGACAGATTTATCGCATTAGCTCCACGTGGTCTGCAGAACTCGAGACGTTTTCTTCATGCGCAGGAGATCCAACCGGGTGAGATTTCCTTTGTGGAGACCGTATCCAATTTGAACATTTCATTAGATGAACACTCACAACAATCGTCGGGGTTTGAGGGAAGTAGTGCATTACCGCAAAACTTTTTAGAGGCACGTCATGTGGATGCATTTTCACGAGCACGAGTAGTGAATTTCATTAAACGTTTCTCACAAGGAGCAGTTACAAGTAGTAATGATGTATTTCAAACACAGGAAGTAGAGGGAGATGCTGGGGCTTCACTCTATCATTCTCGCGTACGATTACCATTTCAAACTCCAACAGGTGAGGTATGGGCACATGGTCTTGCTTGTAATAGTAAAGATGCGGAATTACTTGCGGCCATGCATGCAGAGTACATTATTGATGAATTTGGTTATCACATTTACACACTTCCCTCTATGCAACGTAAACACGCAGAGGCAGCACGTAAAGCTGGTAGATGGGCACCAATGCCAGATGATGTAGATAGAGGTAAATCAGATATTAAAATTCCTCTTCCCTTACGTCGTGTTGTGGATCGTGATGAAACGGAAGGTGGAAAATGGTTATTGATTGATGTACGTCCAAATCATTATATTTCACCTTTTCATACATTACTTTCTCCTTGTCTTTATGATACCACAGCTGTTCATCGTATTAAATCTCTCTTTGAAGAGCATAATTTTTCCTTTACACATCTCTGTACCTCACAAATGGAAGAACCACTTGAGAAAGGTGGTTTAACCTATTGTGTCGCTACTGTTGTTTTACCTGCAGAACTCACAACATTTACTGAGATTAAAGCACAAGGAAAAGGATTAACTCGTGAAGTAGCAATAACACTTGCTTGTATGCATGCAGAGTTAGTATTAGATGCACATTCTATTTCTTTATTCCCATCTGATCCTACACGACAAAAACAACACGCATTAGCTGCATGGAGTTATGGTCGATCTGCACCACTTCCTGGTGAAGAACATAAAGATCCATCGCATGTAATGTGTCCAATTCCTCTTAAAGAACTATCAGTGAAACGAGAGAATCGAGTTTCATTTATGAGCTATGAAGAAGATCTTGTTAGGCGACACCGTGCACTCACAGAACAGACATGTGAATTTACCGAAACTAATTTTCTAGATCACATGGCTGTAGAACAGTTAAAGATATTTTTTAAAAAAGAAAAAGTACCAAGAACTGATCCCTTCTTTGTTGAAGAAATTCAAGGATACTATAAGGCAACAGTAGTACTTCCACTTCCTGATTTATATGGTATTCGTGGAGGAGTAGGTATCGCTATGAACGCATCTGAAGCCATTATATTAGCTGCCATGCATGCCATTGATGTGATGAATATACTTGGATTTAATATTATAAGCGATAGTGTGGCTCGCAGTGAGTGGATTACCACCCGAAAAGCCCGAGGTGAATCTATACCAGCAGAAACGCAGGATCCTAATCTTACTAGTCCCCCAGGAAGGCGAAGAATTACTACATCATCTAATTCCACATCTTCTACAGTAGATAGTGGTATAAGGAGTAATATTCAGGACGACAAGAAGGATGAAAACAAATGTGATGATAAAACGCAAGAAGAGCCTAAAACAGTAGAGACTCCCAAAAGGCGTGTAGTAAAAAGGGCTAGAGTTGCAACTTCTGTAGAAGAAAATAGTAGTAATACTACTGCTTCAAAAGAGGCAGTTCCAGATACAGATTACCTTAAGATACGAGAGACAATCCCTAAAGAGTTGTGGGAACTTAAACCTGATAGTCCTGATGGTTATATTATGGTATCACCTACAGATCCTGAGATATGTACTCAATATGAATATGCATTATATTCTCCTCGTCAAATTGATTCAGGTGCAAAAACACGTATTAGAGGATATCTTTCATCCATGGGTAGACGAGCAGAAGAAGTTTTCTATGTTCAACGAATTGAAGCCGAAGATAATGGAGGACAACAAATTTGTCGTTGTGCTTTAAATCTTCCTGTACCACGTCGATTCGGAGATCGAATAGCCCTTGGTGAAGCTGTAGATCCAAAAGATGCCGAAAGTCTTGCAGCTATGCATGCTGAACTTATTCTTGATACTCTTGGTGTCCCACTTTATGCAGATGTTATACTACAACGTCGACATGTTGATTTATGCACAAAAAGTGGAAGATATGCACCCTTAATGGGTGTAAAAGGAGGTAATAATAATAATAATAATAATAATAATAATAATAATAATAATAATAATATTCCATCTGATACCCCTTCACCACCACCTCTTCGTCGTGAAGTAGTAGGTTCTATTCATTGGGAAAATAAAATGAAAAAGAAACGTAGTCCTATTATAGTTACTAAAAAAGATACTACAAATGCTACACAAAATATAATTAATAATACTTGTGAAGAATCAGAATCTGTACCTAGTCCTGAAGAAAGACGTGATTATACCTTTGTTCAGGAGAAAGAATTAGATATTGTTTGTCGTGCACGTGTACAGTATTATTTACGTCGAAAAGGTATTAATAAACTAGAAGCTGAATTTCGTATGGAGTTAAGAGGACTTGGAAATGTATTACATGTAGCAGAGCTTACAGTTCCTGTTCCAGAGACATTTGGAAAACGTGTAGCTCATGGTTCTGCATTAACTAAACGTGATGCTGAAATACTCTGTTGGATGCATGCGGAACGAATAATAGATGCATTAGGTTTGTGTATGTTTGATAATCTTCCTAAACTTCAGATGAGACATGCACAACGTGTACAAAGTCTTGGACGTTGGGCACCGCTTGTAGGTGAAAATGCCATAAAACCACCAGATACTTCTTCACCACTTCCTTTAACACTTGGAACTGCTCCAGAAAAACCACCATTTCCAATTTTACCATCAAATTTATTACAACATTGGACACAATATGTGGAAGAATGTCAACGATATATTGAAGTAAACACTATGCGAGAGCATAATATATTTTATGAAATGGAAAAAAGTCCTCGAACTTGTGATGAACTTTATGATGCTGCCTTGGAAGAATCTGAGTCTGTCCCTATTGATGCGGAGGCAAAGAATACCCTTCAACGGTATTGTACAGTTGCCAATGTCACGTATCCTGCGTTTTGGCGATCCCGCATGGTTGGACCTGTTTCTCGCCGTGTGTGCCTCACCACGGTGGAGGTGCCCGGCCACGAGCACGTGATGGCCTCTGGTGTGGCGCTCAACAAGGACGCCTCGCAGCGGCGGGCGGCGATGCACGTCTTGTCGCTGCTGAAGCGCATTGAGCCGGACTTTGCGGAGATTGAAAAGAAACTGAAGGCGGAGGTGTCGGAGCGGCTCACGCTGCTGGACCCGCTGCAGCTCCTCAGCGACGAGGCGACGACGGCGGCGTCCCCCAAGCGGCCCGGACGCTCCCCGCGGCGCCCCGTCGGCAATTGGGACCCCGTCGCGAAGGACTTCTCGCACGACGGCAAAGTCCGCATCATTGAACTCTTCACTGTCTGTTTTGGCCTCCCGCCGCCCGTCGTTGGGCACCGCAGCCGCCGCGAGGGGCCGTTCGTCCGGCACGCGACTACCGTCGAAGTCGTCGACGAGGACGGCCGCCGGTGGGTCGGCGAGGGCCGCGAGGCGGGGCCGCGATTTAACGAACCAGCTGCCTACGATCATCTCTTTTCTCAACTCTCACGGGGTGTGGCAGGGTTTCAGGCACTCATGGATCTCATTCGAACACACAGATACTTGGATCCGGAGCACATCGCTAATGTCGCTCTCACAGATGCACAAAAAGAGCGTATTCAACGTGTTGTACAAAGTCTACCAGATGTGGAGGAAGAAGAGGAAGTGGCTCAACCACAGCGATGGAAGGAGGCAGAAGGTGAATTATCTGGTTTATTAGCTCGTGTAGCTTTAGATACCTCTCAGAGGATGCAAGAATCACAGTTTCTTATAGATAAATTACAGAAGAAATTAACAAGTGAAGAGTATCAATTGAAGTATGCTGCTCAGAGGCAACGGTTAAGTATACATGGTAAACGAGAAGAAATTTTAAGTGCCATTGAAAATAGTCAAATTGTTATTATTTGTGGTACAACAGGTTGTGGTAAAACGACACAAGTACCACAATATATTTTGGATAATATGACTGAAAAAGGTAAAGGAGGTGATTGTTCTATTGTTATTACACAACCTAGAAGATTAAGTGCAGTTTCTATTTCTCAACGTGTAGCTACTGAACGATTAGAAAGTATAGGTGAAACATGTGGTTATTCTATTCGTTTAGATAGTAAACCAGGACGTAATATTAATTTTTGTACTTCAGGTATTTTACTTCGTTTACTACATAGTACTCCTTCCTTAAATGGAATTAATTATCTTATTATTGATGAAATACATGAACGTGATATTAATTCAGATTTTTTGCTTATACTTTTACGTCAACTTTTACGTCGTCGAAAAGATCTTCATGTTATTTTAATGAGTGCAACATTACAAGCTGAACAATTTGGAAAATATTTTAATAATGCACCTATTATTAATGTAGAAGGTTATGTACATCCTGTACAAGAATTATTTGTAGAGGATTTAGTCCCTATTGCTGCTGAACAAAATGTTATGCCACCTTTACTAAAAGAAGCTGCATCTGTACTTGAAAAGGAAGAAGCAAATGGTATTTCAAGAAACATTGAAAATTTAAGTTTAACTCCTACTGCGAAATATGGTTTTCTAGAAGCTACTTCTGAAATTGATTATATTACTATTCAATTCGCCATTGATCATGCTGTACGTTCACTTGATTTAACAGATTCTTCCGTTTTAGTATTTCTTCCAGGATGGGATGAAATTACAAAAGCGAAAGAAATTCTTGAACGTAATACAAAGTTTTATATTATTTGTTTACATTCTTCTGTAGGTGCAGAAGAACAAATGCGATGTTTTTTACCTGCCCCAGAAGGAAAAGTAAAGTTAATTCTTTCTACAAATATTGCTGAAAGTGGTGTAACTATTGATGATGTTGCTGCTGTTATAGATGTTGGTAGAGCAAAGGAAAAATCATACGTTATGCGAAAAGGAACTACATCTGTTGGTAGAAATGAAATGGGATCTATGTCTCAGTTAGTAACCGTATATGCTAGTCGTGCTAATTGTGTACAACGACGTGGTCGTGCTGGGCGTACTCGTCCTGGTATGTGTATACGTCTTTATTCGAGAAAACACTTTCAAACTGTACATGATTTTCAAACTCCTGAAATGCTTCGTACACATCTTGATGCTCTCTGTTTACATATCCTCGCACTTGACTTGGGAGACCCGGCGGAATTCCTGCAAGAAGCTATTGAACCTCCCTCTGCAGATAATATTGAAGCCGCAATGATGAGACTTCAGGAACTTGGAGCCACAACATCAAGACGACAGTTAACTCCACTTGGATTACGACTTTCACGACTTCCTGTTGCTCCCAAGGTAGGGAAAATGATTATTATGGGAGCTTTATTAAAATGTTTAGACTCTGCGTTAACGATTGCTGCTGTAACTGATACGGATGTTTTTATAAGTGCACGTGAACATCGTGATGCTGTTCGTCTACATAAGGAAGATCTATCTTTCAATACCCAATCAGATGTTATTGCTTCTGTTAATGCATTTAATTTTTGGGTAATTGCACATTATGAAAAAACACCAGCAGAAGTTGTATATGATCTTCAGGAACGAATGCTTAGTGTTCCTCAACTTCTTACTGTATCCAAGTATAAAAAACAATTTTTTGATATTCTTGCAGGAAGTGGATTTTTAGGACCTGATATAAATATAAGGAGGACTAGGGATGATTCTCGAGCTGATATTTTTGTAGAAAACTCGGAGTGCTCTGATGATGCTCAAAATGTTGGTTTAGTGAAATGTGTAGTTGCATCTGGTTTATTCCCAAATGTTGTAATGAATCGAGGGAAACGAATGATGAGAAATAAACTTGCAGATCGTTTAGCACCATCTACAGCATCTGTAGTACATCGTACTTCTCAAGATGATATTACACAACCTTTTTTTGTATATGATGAATTAGCCAAATCTAATGAATCTGAACGTTTACATGTACGTGGACTCACAAATGTCCCATTGTGGACTATTCTTCTTATGGGTACAAGTAGTATGCCAGTTTCCTACCGTGATGATTTGAATCTTGCTGTAGTAGATGAGTGGATTATGTTCCGCGCTACATTTGGGACACTTGAACTTATTCGAAAGTTTAGACGATCTCTTAACGTATGTCTTAGTCGTAAATTTACGGATCCAAATAACAAGGAAAATAATGAAATACTGGAAGAGTTACGACTTATCATTAAGGAGCTTGTAAGTACACCGTTTAAACCAAACGATCTATCCGATAAAGTATGGGAAGAGAAGGGAATTATTCTTGAACCACGTAAACAAACAAAAAAGGAAACTTTACCATTACAACAGGATGAATCGTCAGCAACCACAATAAGAAAAGAAGAAGAAGAAGAAAAGGAAAAGGAAATGATGACCTCAAGTGAGTAACACTCATAATTGAGGGAGAATTCTTTTTTTTTGTGTGTGTGTGTTGCTGTTTGTTTTGTTTTCCTTTCCGCTTGTTATTCTGTGATTCATATTTTTTTTTTTTTTTTACTATTTTGTAAAACTTTGCCCCCTTTTTCTTTTTGGTCAGAGTTATCAGAAATACGAGTTTAAAAAAAAAAAAAAAGGGTGGGGGGAAAGGATGTATGCAGAAGAGGAGATTTTGTTTATTCAATCGGATATTTTACGTATTAACTATTGCTCCAAGTCTTGAGCTTACTGAGGAAGAAGAAAAAAGAAGAAAGAGATACACAAAAGACATATGGGGCGTATCACAGATTAGCTGTTTATTAAGAGGAAAGAACACATTAACATTTATCTTTTTTTTTTGTTGTTGTTCGTTTTACTCACATTCTTTCTTTCTTTTACTTTTTTTTTTCTACTTGATCATTGTTGTTGTTGTTGTTTTTATTATTATTTTTTATGGATCTCTTTTTTCTATATATACATATATTTTTTCCCCCTTTGTTTTCTTTCTTTCCTGTTAACAGTCTGGATATCAGTAACTTCACTATTATAGTTATTTCTTAGGCCATGGAAAGTGTCACTCCCAACAACAACACTTCTACTGCTGCTGCTGCTGCTAATACTACCACTACTACTACCACTGCTAGCGGTACAACTACTACTCCCCCTATAACTTCTGCTTCTGGTACTTCTACTACCTCTCTTGCTGCTGCTGCTGATAGTGAATTCTATCTTGGAAGTATATTTCATTCACTAGAGCATTTACCTCAATGGTATCAGCTTGTATCCCTCTTTAGTGTGTTTTGTCTTTTTCCTCTTCGTGAAATTGCCGTTGTTGGATGGCTTGCCGCGTCTCTTCATAATTCTTTTGGAACAGAAATGGCGTGGCCAGAAGAGTATCAATTGTTATTGGAACAAATGTCATTTAATGAACGACTCTGTTTTACACTTTATGGAGTGGCATTATCACTATTGGCATTCCTTGCGTATAGAGTATTTGCCTCTGATGTTCTCTACATTGGATTGCGTGAATCTGGTTTAACTGGAAAACGTAAATGGTGGTTAGCCGCTTTTGTCTGTGCTTTGCTTGGATGTGAAGGGATGGTGATATTAAAGGAAGAAGTATCAAGTACTTTATCTAATAAAAGGTCATTAGCTCATCTCGCTTTGGTAGGTTTTGATGGTATTGAAAAATCAAGATTTGATCTTCGTTTGGCAAACAGTAATCCTCACTTTATTATACAAATAGAAGTTTTAAAATCTCTTTTAATAGCTTTTTTAGAGCATGTAGGTCCTGCTGTAATTCTTTCTTGTTGTTACCGTCTTCTTAGAGATGTTCCTAGAAAAGCTACTGCAGCATTACGTTGGTATATTGTTACACTTATGTTATCACGTTCATTAATAACATTATTTGCAATGTATCGTAATGATGATTGGGATAGAAAAAGTGCATGGCTTTTATTTGCATCATCCTTATGTTTTCTTGGAATGGTAAATTATGCTTTTGGTCCTACTAAACGTGGTGGATGGACAGCTGCTACATCTGTAGTATCTTCTATTTATCAAACTATTCAAGGAATTGTTAAGTGTACCGCACTTTTTTTCGTTATTTATTTATCTGTACTAGCATTGGTGGTTAGTGTTCATGTTGTAGAATTACTTCTTATTTGGCTTATTTTCTTTTTAACGACAGTGTGGGTACCTGCTATTATTGACTCCTGTTCAACCGATTATATGGTCTGTGTATGTACAGCTATTTGTTTTGTAGCTCGTGAGATGAATTATCTAACAGATTGGGGATCCTTTCGTCTTTGGGGATTTTTATGTCTATGGTGGTTAAATGTATGTTTATTCTACAACTTAACTACTAATGCCTGTCATTCCCGTTATGGTGGTATTATCTCTTTATCTGTTTTATTTACATTATTTTGGCGTTTATCACAATTAGGAGAACGAACAGGTGATTTTGTTTCTTTTCTGGAACATGTGGCTTCAGTTTCACGCGATTTAGTTGAGGGAACTGTTCCTATTGAGGGTAGTATGTTGACTGGTGGTACTGTAGCGACTCCAAAGTTTTATTCTTTATTTCAAGCGGGGCTTCTTCTCTGTGGGATTCTTGTGGGTTGTGTGGCTCTATTGAGTATCTTTGAAACCCCAGATATTCGAAATCGATTACTTAGTCAAAACATTTTGATAGTAACACCTGGAGTACTTTTTCGAAAATTAGTAAAAACTCTTATACTTGCAGTTTGTTTCCTTATCTTTATGGTGACAGCACTTTTATTGTATAACTTTTTACCGCATCTCGCCAGGTTTGCTCCTGAATTTGCAACACTTTCTGTGGCTGTAGGTCTTGCGTGTATTATACTTGGAACTCTTATGGATATGCAGGAGTTTTTCTATATTGTCTTTATGCGGTTGATAGGAGTGATGGAGCCACCGGAGACCAATGATGATGATAAGGAAGGGGATCAAAATCCTTTTGTAATGGGAGGAACATCTACTTCTTGGATGAGACGGCAAACAGGAGTTATTCGGTAGTAGTAGTTGTTGTTGTTGTTGTTTTTGCGTTTTTTTTGTAATTTTTTTTTTTTAATTTCAAAAAAGAAGAAAAAAAGATACGTATATATATATATATATATATATATATAGTTGTTGTTGCTATTTCCTTAATATTTTTTTTTTTATTTTGATTTTCTTGTCCTTTTGGGTGTAGTCATGAGAGATAATGGGGAGACTCAAGCTCTCTCAAAGGAAGGACCCATCGTGGAGTATATGCGCTCGAGAGAAATATATCGAAGTGGTTCAATCGCTATACTAGTTGATGCATTTCGTCATATACGTACTTACATAAAATCTTGTTCTGGAATAAAGGAGAATGATAATAATAATAATGATAATAATGAAACTAATGATTGTATGAAGACTATGAATGGGTTTCGTGTATTATTTTTTCTCTCGCATTTTCATTCTGATCACTACAATGGTATTACCAATAGTTGGCGTCATGGAATAATTTACGCTAGTCGTTCGACAGCCAATATTCTATGTTGGAAACTTGGAGTTGAGGAATCTTATGTGAGGCGAATGGAATTTTTTGTAGAGTATGTTTTTTCATTGACAAATGGTGAACTCTTGTATGAATATACAGAAAATGATAGAAGTATGAATTGTAGTCATGATTATTTTTCAGTTCGATTAATTCCAGCCAATCATTGTCCAGGAGCTGTGATGTTTCTCTTTTATTCTCCTATCTTTGGAACCATTCTTCACACAGGTGACTTTCGGTTTAATGGAGGACATTCAAATTCCCTCTACTCCACACTATCACGTCCACAGTGGGAGTTCAACATGGCGGATGATCCCGTATTGAAGTGTATTACGGGAAATGTGAATACACTTTATCTTGATAACACTTACTGTGATCCACGCTTTGAATTCCCCACACATACAGAAGTCTTGAGAGAAGTTAATCAGACATTATTACACGTTTTTTCGGAGCGTGCATTGGCTCTACAACGTGATAATAATAATAATAATCATCATCATCATCGTAATGGTGATTGTAAGAGTGAAAAAGATAAAGATGAGAAAAGAGGAAAAAAAGTTTCGGTAGCGGTTTTAATAGGAACATACTTTATTGGAAAAGAACGTATTGCACTTTCTATTCAAGAAACTTTCCTGCCGTTTCCCAATAGAAATGAGGAGGAAGAGGAAGAGGAACAACAAGTCAAGTTTATTCCAACATATGTGTCTCCTGAAAAGTATAGATCTCTACAAGAATTAGATTATTATCCAAACCGTTTTATTCCTTTTTCACAAAGTAATGGAGATATCTCTTCTGGTTTTAATAAACATGAAGTTCAACTACCAGAAAACATATTAGGCTCTTCTTCTCCTTCTGCAGCATCATCATCTTCATTATCATCAAGAGTAGTAAGGAGTCTTTTTCCTGTAGACTCATTGGGTTTAGCTGAAGAGTCCTGTGAAGAAACACGGTACTTTCTCACACCCATACTTATTCCTCTTTCTTCTTTGGATTTCCCTTCTCTCTCTGCAGTATGTGGAAAACAAGTTAAACGACAACGCAGCGATATCACCACAGCTGTTAATGGTATAGAAGATAGTGATAAGCGTTTGGTATCCTATCAAGAAATGCTTCCACTTTGGGATAATGAAATGCTTGATTTAAAACAGTTTGATGGTGTTCTTTGTGTGATACCAACAGGGTGGACAAAAAAAATAAAAAAATATCAAATGAACAGTTATATTACATTACTTCATGTACCATATAGTGAGCATAGTAGTTTTTCTGAACTTCTAGACTTTGTACAATTTATAAATCCGGAACGTATCGTACCTACGGTTTCACCAGAACTTTTTAAACGGCATGAAGTGTTATTTGCAGAGAAGGCTCCTCGTTTACGCCAACAGTACTCTAATACACAACCCCTCTCTCGTTTCTTTAGTTCCAAGTCAATCCATAAAGTGGAAGAAGCACTCAGAATAACGACCGAGTGTACAAAAATAATCTCTTCACAATTGCAGAAACAGCGAAATCCATTTGCTCCTACTAATACACTTGCAGAAACAAACACTATTAATGAAGAAGAGAATAGTTGTAACTTGGAGTTCCGCTCTGTTTCAACAGATATTATGGTTAACAAAAGGGAAGGTGATAAATATTCCAGTTCACAAAGTTTAGTTAAGCATGAGTTATACTCTACTATTATTGAAGAAACAAATATCTCTACCTATGATGAGGAGGTTAATTCTGTGAACGAGAGGAAGGAGTTAAAGTCATCATTGAATGATCAGAAGGCGGTAAAAGCGCAGTCAACTCTTCTTTCTTGGTCTTCTTCATCTGTTGATGTTGATAACGATGATTGTGTTTGTGTGGGAATTAATCCCTCTATTATTGATATTAGTGACTCTTCTGATTAATATGTTTCGTATTAATATTTAACGTATATTATTTTATTCTATACAATAATAGTGACGTTTTTTTCTTGTTGTTGTTACCATCATTGGAATGTGTTTATCCATTTTTTTTTTTGTTTTTTTTTCCAGTATTAGTGTTTCATCTATTCTTTTTTTTTTGTATTCTTTTTCTTCTTCTTCGATTTTTGCAGACACAGTGCCAAAGAGTAGTAAAACAAGAAAAAATATATTTATTATTTATTTGAATATATTTATTATTAATAATAATAATAATAATAATAATGTCTCTTGCAAAGGTTGTGATATGCGGAGGGTCGCGAAGTCCCATTGGTGCCATTGCTGGGGAGCTCTCATCATTACTTGCATTTCCTCTCCTCTCTCAAATTGCCGTTGCGGCGCTCTCTCACGCCAAGTGTGATCCCAAACACGTGGAGTATGTAACTACTGGGTGGGTTATGCAAGATCCACGCAGTCCTAATATCGCAAGATCACTCTGTGATGCGATTGGGGCTCCCACCACTACAGCAGGCACAACTGTTCATGAGAACTGCGCATCTGGAGCCGCTGCCATTCATGATGTGGCACGTCGTATTGCTCTTGGAGAAATAACTGTGGGTGTTGCTTCTGGAGTGGAAAGTATGTCTAATGTTCCCCGTTACCTCTTCACAGGCCGTACAAAGAGAGAAATGTATGGTGATCTTATCTTGATAGATGGTCTCATGTCTGCACTCACGGATTACAATGTTGGTAAGAAAGGTGAACTCATGGGACTTTTAACAGAACGTCTTGTGGAGAAGTATAATGTATCACGTGAACTACAAGATGAAATTGCTTTTCGGTCTCATGCAAATGCTGTGATTGCATGGGAAAAGGGAATGTTTGACTATGTAACTCCTGTTGAAGTCAAGACTCGGGAAGGTGTACATATGGTTATAAAGGATGCTGGACCAAAAGTACATGATATGGATTTCTTTAAAAAACAAAAACCATATTTTAAACCCAATGGTGGTACAATTACATCTGCAAATTCTAGTAGTATGAATGATGCTGCTGCTGCTATTGTTTTAGCATCAGAGAAAGCAGCAAAGGAACTTGGGTTACCTATTTTGGCTGAATTACGTGCCTATGGTAATATTGGTGTTCCAGCGGAATTTATGGGTGAAGGAGCTTTCAAGATACTTCCTAAAATTATGAATCGTGCAGGTATAAAATTGGATGATATTGATTACTTTGAAATTAATGAGGCCTTTGCAGCTGTGGTGGGTGCAGCAATAAAGGAATATCCTGAACTTAAAATTGATCGCGTGAATCAATGGGGCAGTGGTATTTCACTTGGTCATCCTGTGGGATGTACTGGAGTTCGTCAAGTGGTGGATATGGTATATCAACTCAGAAAGCGAGGGGAAACGATTGGCGTCACAACCCGCTGCGTTGGTAAAGGAATGGGGAGTGGCGAAGTCATTGAAGTACGATCGTAGAGAAGGTGATTTACTTTTTTCTCTGTTGATGTTCCTTCTCTTCTTTGATATGTCATACACACAACAAAAAAAAAAAATGATATTAATAAAAGTGGGTTCAACGTAGTTTTTTTTTTTTTTTTTGCTTCTCTGGAAGAGACGCAATACACAAAATGCAAGCGTTCTAAAAAGGGGTTAGCGAATATGTATTTTTTTTTTTCTTTTGTTTCTTTCTTTTTTCTATTTGCAATGTCTAGTATGGTTTTCTCATGATAATAAATCAGAGCCAATATGGGTAAATAAATAAAAAGATGAAAAATAAAAAAAAGAAGTTATTGCGTGCTTTTCTCCCATGCTAAATGATGTACCTCTACTATAAATTTGTTTCCTTTTTTTTTATTATTCTCTTTTGCTCTGTAACATATTACTATTTTCGCATTACCTCATTTATCTGTATAGGATTAGAAAATGCGGCGTTTTAATGTTGTCATTACCCCAGTGCTTTTCTGCAGCAATTCACAGTTTCTTCTACCGTCTCTCGCCTCGTCCCAGACAACCCCCAGTGGCAATTTAGTATATGCAGTACGGCAGAAAGCCTCATATCTCCGTGTTGCCAATCGCAAACGTGTGGAGATGTTTCTTGGTAAGCGATTTCATCTTCCAACGCGATTACAGACAGCAGCCCCGGATATTGCACAAGAGTGGGATCATGATAAAAATCCCATGCATCTTTACCCTGAAATTGTTGGCATTGGTTATGTTGCTCCAGTATGGTGGAAGTGCTCCACATGTCAGCATTCTTTTTCAATGAGTGTAGAAAAGCGTGTTGTGCGGGGTGGTGGATGTCCACAGTGTGAGATGCAAGAAACAACAAATGATATCGCGATTAAAGAAGGTGAGAATTTACTAGAGGGGGAAGAAAACAAAGAATTACGACCTAAACGACCAGTGATGTTTAACTTAAGAACAAAGTATTGACCAAGATGTCAAAGTTATTTCACAATATTACTTTCCCTCTTGTATGGGCACATAGATTAATAGAGAGAAGGTGGGGAAAGAAGGAAAGAGTGGTAAAGAGTAAAGATGTGTGGGTCGTTTCTGTCTCTCACTCTCCCTCTCTCTTTTTATTCTTTCTTTTTTGCTTTTCTCAATTTTTGATGCCTCCTATCCATCATTTGTATAGTGCATCGTTTGGTATTATTATTATTTTTATTTTTTTTTTCTTTTTCTTTTTTTCTTTCTCACTTGCCGCAAAACATTACTCCCTTTTTCTTTCGTTCTTTCTTGCACTGCTTTCCTTCCTTCTTTCGCTCTCTCTCTCTCTCTATATATATATATGTGTGTGTGGTTTCTAAATGAAGTATGCTGAGGTACGACGTTACAGATGTCCTCTGCGAGGATCAGACATGTGAGCTGCCGGGTGACTGTGTAGTTCGTGCGGTGGTGGGACGCGTGGTCCTCCTGCGGCGGCTGAAGTTCAAGCGGGAGTTCTTCGTCCCGTTTGTGCCGACGCGGTCGCTCCTCCTCGTCTTCCCCACCCGCGACCCCCTTGACGGCGAGGTCCTCCGCCCGGGCACCGTCGAGGCCGTCGCCCGATATCTCCGCTGGCTCGCCGACGGCCTCCCGCCCGACAGCCCCCTGCGCCCCCGCGCCCTCCTCGCCTGCACCCACAGCGGCTGCACCGTCATGACCCTCGACTGCGCAGACGTCCTCACAGCCATCGCCCTCCATGCACGCGCTCAGGAAGACGACGCCCCCGTGCTGGGCACACGACGCGTTATGGTGTTTCCCTGCGATCAAGATGAAGAACACCCGGGGGCAGATTACTACGTTGTGCCTACTTGCACCATCTGCGCTGAGAGGCTCGAGCCAACACTCACAGGATACACGGCACGCACATGCCGCTGCGATCCACCTTCAGCGTGTGCTTGTATGACAGAGCACTCATCATGTGTGGTCTGCACCACACTGCTTCGCATGCAGCGTGGAGGCGGTAGCAATGTACCCTGTGAAGTCTGTCACCTCGCAGGAGACCCATGGATTTGCCTTGTCTGTGGCTTTGTCGGCTGCAGTCGCTACCAAGCACAACATGCAAAGCACCACTTCCTTCAGGAACGCCATTTTTTTTCTATGAGTCTGCTCACACAGCAGATTTGGGATTACGATAGTGATGCATTTGTACACCGTGTGGTTGTTTTGTTCGATACAGCTACCGGTGCTATGCAACGTGTACAGTACCCAGACAGGGATAATCTTCCATCATCTCTCGTAGATGATACAGGAGATACTGTTACAGCGGAGAAGGCAAATAAGAAACACATTAATGCCAAGTATGACTCCAAGGTTGAGACGTCTAACGAAACGTTAGCGTTAATGATTAAACATCAACTTGATACTAGTCGAGCAGAATATGAGAGTGAGCACGAAGAACAACAACGACTACAAAAACAGGGTAAACAAAATTTATCTCTTACCCTACAGAAATTTTATGATATTGATGCAACAGAAATATATAGTAAAATGAATTTGGAAAAAGAATATGGTGGAGCTCGACAGAGGTGGTTATCCTTATTTCTTGGAAACCGAAATCTTGATGATGAGGTGCAACAGTGTAAATGTGAAGTGTCAAGATTAACAGAATTGCTGAATGAACTCAATAGTGAGCTTCGTAGTGTAGTAGAATACTACGCTACGGGAGAACATCGTCTCTTAGTTGAGATTGCTGACCTTGAGGAAACTATTAAGGAGGTTGAAACAAACGTACGGATGCGTAAACAGCTTGAAAATAGGTTAGGTGGTGATAGCTGCCAAACCATTTGTGTGATGGGTGACGGCAATGACAATAGTACAAAAAAGACAAATAAACAAAAGAAACAGAAGAAATAGTATTTGAAATGGGTTTATTTGGTATGTCGAACTATTGTTGTTTATTGCCATTATTATTATTATTATTATTATTATTATTATTATTATTATTGCTATTATTTATTTATACCATTATCAATTTGTTGGCTTTTTTTTTTTGCTTTTTCAGTAAGCTTCTCCAAGAATTTCAAATATATCTTCGATACTCTGTCAATGAAAAATGTGTTGCTTTTTTTTTCTTTCTCTGTTTATTAAATCAACTTTTTATTTTATTACATTCATTATTTTTTTTTTTTTGGATTCTCTGAAAAAATATCTATATCACACTCTTTTCCTCTCTTAATAATCATTGTTCTTCTTTTTTTTTTTTGAGGGGATCACCTCGTACCCATATACAAAAGACAAATAGGGGGAGATTGTCAAGAGAAAGAGAAAGAAATAGATAAACCGAACAAAGGTAAATTAGGCTACACCTCTATTTTGAGTAACGGATGGATAAATATCATGCATTACCTGAAGCGTCGTATATTCTTGGACGTGTGAAGGGTGACCGTAGTTATCATTACAACTCCCGTGAGTCCTTTGAGAAACTCTGCGCGGACATGGTTCTACTGTGGTCAACACCAGATAACGGAGATGCATTTAGTGATGATGGCCCACAACAGCAGAAAAAAGGGAATGAAGAAGTAATGGTAGAACTCAATTCACTTTGGCCGTCATTTCTCAAAGAGGCTACTCTTTATGTAGCGAAGGAGTCTCCACTTCAGTCTTCTAGGTCACTACTTGAAGCAATTGTGGCTTCTGTAGAGTTTTCTGTTGTTAGCAAATATGGTGGCAAAATAGCAGTAGCTAACACTGCATGCGTGGAAGAAATTATACAAATTCTTGTCTCTGATATTTGTCAACGGAAGATATCTCTCTCATCATTGATTCCTCCATTATGGGAAATGCAGAAAGTGACAGTAATAGTTGAACTTCTTCAGGAATATTACCTCTTTTGCGGTGATGCTAATTCTACAGTTACTACAGATACTGGTATTGTTAGTAATAATGCTAGTGCTACCACAGTAAAACTTATAGAGTCATATAATGCGTTAGTTGATCGATATATTGGATTATTTGTAGAAGAAATGGTGTTCCCTGACTATTGGAACTTAAACTGGAGTTCTTCCTCCTCTGTGATACTTGTGAATGGAGTACATCCTTCCATTTATTTCTGTTTTACTTCTATGGCTAATCTAGTGTATGGTTGGATGCACCGACCTTACTTAACAGATAATAGACCCTGTCATGAGATCGTTGCGCGTGTATGGGAACGTGGAGCATTAGCCATTGCCTCCGTTGCAGAGGAAAAACAATTAAGTTCACCACGGGAAAAACAAATTCAGTTGGATACTATGCATTTTGTGTTATTTGCACGTATGTTTCGTGGGTTTATAGGTGAAAACTTTTCTAAATGTGTAACTGTTGCATTAGTAAGACTTCTGGAGGCTGTGGCTAAATGTGTTCGAAAGGTGGAAACTTCACAGTCACAGGGTTTTATTACTTTCGAAAAAGAAATTTGGGATGTTCCTCCCATTCAAGATTTGGAATGGCCACGAACGGATATTCTGAAAAATGATAGTAATGACGAAGAAGAGAAGAAGACTTCCACTCATATTGTTAGTAGTGGTGCCTTCATACCTTGGTGTAATGAGTTTATACGTGCATCTCATGTAAAAGTTGCGCAAGGTCCACCAATGGATTGGGAACATACTATTTTTCAAAAGTTACACTAATAAATTTTGGGGAGGAAAAAGAAGAAGAGTGGTTATGGATAAGTTGCGAACTTTTTTTTTCTTTCTTTCTTTCTCTCTTTTCAATCTTACTCTGCAGTCTAAAGAGTATTTGCTTATGGAACGAAAATAAAAATAATAAAAAAATGAGAAAAAAAATTTCCAATGCCTCAATGTTTTTTTTTTTTTTTTTATGGCCTCTCTTTCCTCCTCTTATATACATACACATATCTATATTTATACTATTTCCATATTTAATAAGTGTAATGCGGAAGCCTTTTTTCCATCATGTTTGCGTTCATGGTGCAACACCCAAATTTGCTGCCGCTGCACAGAAACTGACAGAAGCCGTATTGTGGATAGAGCGTGCTCCTTCTGCTGTGGAGTTGTCTATTCATTTTGTACAACCCTCACAAATGCACTCACTCAACTATGAGTGTCGTGGAATTGATAAACCAACAGATGTTCTAACCTTTCCTGGTAGTGGAAGTGGTACTTCTGATGTTCGCTTAATGAATGATGTTATTCTTGGAAACTCAAATTTTTCTTTTAAAGAAAAGGAGAATGATAATGATGGTGACTATAATAATATCAAGACAGATTTACAAATATTCCAGTTACAACGACGTACTATGCTTATGGACCTTGGAGAGATTTATTTTAGTGTTGAATACATCTGGCAGCGTTGTCTTCATCAGCCTGGAAGAAATTTACCTTTTCATTCTTATCTGCAAGCAGCATTAATACATGCAGTGTTGCATGCGTTGGGATACGATCATGATACCGCAGATGAATGGAAAAGAATGTCGAGGCGAGAAAAATTTATGATGCATCAGTTGAATGCCTATCGTCGCAGGTGTCCTGGGTACTTGCCAGAGTTAGATGGTATGGAAATTATTTTGTCCTCAACAAGACCATGAGGAGGGGGAAAAACAAAAAGTAATTGGAAAATTGAAGAGATGAAAACGAAAAATGCAGTTTTTATTTCTTGGTACATCTCTTTTTTTTTTTATTTTTATTCATTTATTTTTTTATCTCGTTCATATGACTGTTGTTGTAACATTGGTAATGATCGTGGGTACCCACTATTCTCTTAATCCAGCTTTGCACTCTCTCTCTTTCATTCATTTATTCATTGACGTACTCACCTCATACGTGTACAGTGTGTGTGTGTGTGTGTGTGTGAGTGTATACACATATATAAATATACATATTTACATACATATTTATATACATTTATATATACATATTTATATATATATTTATTTAGAGAAGGGAATGGGTGAGCTGCACAAAAGTACACAGCAACCGTTACTGGCCGCTGTGGTGTCATCAGGCCGTGTACCGCTACGCTTTGCCGCTCCCAAACGACGCCCACACCTTCTCACACAACAACAACAACGAGAAGAACAAGAAAAAGAGTTGTATGGCGATATTGTGAGCCGGCGAGAGATCTCCCTTCGTCGGTCGTTCAACTCTCTCCAACCACCACTGACGGGCTGCAGTTCGAACATCATTGCCGTTGCTGCGGCTCTCGAGCTGCGGAACTTCACCGACGAAGACGCCGCACGTCTCACATCGCCCGATGCGCCGCACTGCCACGTTGTGGACGAAGTGGTAGATGCGCTCTTTACAAACTTCACAACGGCCCCAACGCGGTGTAAGTGGAATACACCTGTGCCGAGGCCGGAGTGGAAGAATGAGTTTCGTCTCCGGCATGAGTGGTGGATTTCACTGCGAGTATTGCCTTTAAGTATGCAAATGGAGGAACACCATCCACCAATGATCCCATGGGGTATACGCAGTATAGAGACAGAAAATCAGTTTTTAGCCGATATAGCATTACATATGAGACGTAAAGGAGCTGTTTTTACATTACTTCATCTAGACCATATAGCATTAACCCCAGAACGAGCAAATGTTTTACTATTTGATGGTGTTCTTCGTAATGCGTCTCATGCGTTGGAATGTTTTTCAATTCCATTCTGTGAAGTTGGAGCTGCTACTTTATTATTGTTACTTTGTGGATTTAATCACTGTCGTGCACTTCAACCACAATTGAGGTATTTAAATCTTTCCTATAATTGGATCAATACTTCATGCACATATATGTTAGCAATGTTATTGAGTCGAACATCTGTTCGACGACTTAGTTTACGTGGTAATCGCTTCGGTGGAGGAGATATGTTAACATTTCAAGATTTTCTACTTCAAGGATGCTGTCTCCTCGAAGAGTTAGATCTAGGTTATACTTGTTTGACACGAGCTGAAGTATGTGCCCTTATTCGATGCTTACCAGAAATGCCAAATCTTCAGGTACTTCTCCTTGATGGTATACACGTACCCGCAAGTAAGGCAGTGGCACTTTCTACAGCTATTCGAAAATCAAAACTCACATATGTTTCACTTAAAGGAATTGCTGCCTGTTCTGGTGAGGCATATCTGCATCGAATTCATTTAGCCTGTCAACGACATAAAACAGAGCGAATTCTATCGAATGATCAACTCACTATGCGAGAATTGGCAGAAACCGGAAGTTTTTTTGAGGCTTTTGCACGGAGAACAGGTGAGTGGATGGGTACAGACAATAGTGCTCTTCCTCCATCGTATCGCCCATTCACCACCAATGAACCTTCCCTACCGCCAATTGATGAGTATCCCTGATAAAACTTTTTTGAGTGAAAGAGAGTTTTGCATGCATCTTGTCGATTACACGAGCACAATGTATGAAAAATGGAATGCTGATTTGTAGTTTTTTTTTTTCTTTTTTTGTGTGTGTGTTTTTTTTTTTTGTGTGTGTGTGTATAGTTTGCAGAAAAGGTTTGTATCCCCTTTTATAACTCTCTCAAGCATTAATTTAAAAGGGAAAAGAAATAAGAAGGTTTTATGGATGGTTGCTCTTCTTTATTCTTTTTTTTTTTTCCTTTTTCTTTTTATTCTTTTTTGATAAACGGCACAAGGGTGTACACGACGTATCACACCACATTATTTAGATCCCATTATATCGTCAACAATATACTCTTGCAGACACTTACACTTACATACAAACTAGAGGAATATCAAAAGATAGAGAAATAAATCAAAGAAAAAAAAAAAGAAACTTTTAAGACATATATATATATTTATATAAATGCTCCGTCGTACATCGTCTCTCTTCGCATCGCCATCACCACCGTCTACGAATGCACAGCAGGAGGTTCTACAAATTACATCCGCCTACTCATTACTGCGTATGTGTTATCGCTCTATCGACATAAAAGTGAAATCACGTCATGCCCGTCAGTTTCTGCAGCGCCGGCTAATTGAACAATGGCGAGAACACAGACATGAAACAGATCCAGAGAAGCAGCGATTTCTCATGGACCACGCCGGCTCATTTCTACAGGCACTCCACTCCCAACGAAACCCAAAACCAGGAGAATCCATTACGTTTCAACTTTCCCGTCGAAAGGCATATGAAGAGGCGCAGAAAGTAAAGGCGGAACGTGCAAAGACAGTTCACAAACTTCCACCTGGTGCAAAGCTGAATTAGTCACAATTTTTATTTTTTCAATATTGAAATGTTCCATTTTTTTTGTATTTTGTATTTTTATCTTTTTTGGTATGATAGGCTTCATATATATATGGTTGTGTATTTTTTTTTTTTTTTATCGTTTTAGGCATGTGCTCTTTTTTTTTTTGTTTGTTTGTTTGTTTTATATTCTGAATTTTCATACGATAATAAAATCACGAAAAAGAAGAAGGAAGCAAACCTTTTCCTTCATTCTACATAAACAGAAAATTCAAAAAATAAAATAAAATAAAATAATAATAAGAGTTGTGTGTCTCTGTGTTTAGATGCTTTCTTTATATGTTAAGAGAATTTTCGTAACGGGGGTTCCGACTACAATTATTTTCCTTGGAGTGTGGTTTATTCGTTCTCTTTTATTAAATCCACCAGGCATTCCAAGTCCTCCGATTACTTCACATGAAGAAAATGATGGATTTTTTACCCGCCATGTACGTCGTTTCTTCATGCAGCATTTCTATGTTCTTCATAAAGATGAATCCATGTTCCGTCTTTTACAATGGACACGGTTTTTCCATCATCATCCCTTTCTCATGCGTATCTTCTTCCGTCCTCATATCATTATTTCAAAATCAGAAGATCTTGAAGAAGTTCTACTTCGACAGGAAGCCAACTTTTGTAAACATACGGGTTATATTCTTTTACGTGCCGTTATTGGTGATGGATTATTAGCAATGATGGATAAGGAAAAGCACAGAGTTCATCGTCGTATCTTGCAGTCTGTTTTTAGTTCTTCAAATATCAGAGGAATTGCTAATGAAGTGATGCGAGTGCATGTCCTTCGTCAACTGAATATTTTTCTTAAACTCCTCATTTGCGCTGGTGATGGTATTGTGACTATTAACATTTCTGAACATATGCATCGAATGACACTTGGTATTGTAAGTGAAGCGGCATTTCGTGCATCTGTGGAAGATTCTGTTGTGGTGCTTGAGGCATTTTCTATCATGACAAAATTTAATCGGCTTAATTATCTTTGCCCGTATTACCGAACTCCTTCACAAAAGGAAGCTGAGAAAATATTAATAGAGATTAGTAATGCACTCATACAAAATAATGAGGAAGATGATAATAGCTCTAAAAGACGAGTGGTATTAGATGCACTTATTGAAGAATTAAATATTCATTTTGACAGAAAAGATGTGGTACATCATCTAGTTACATTTCTTTTTGCAGGACATGATACAACAAGCAATACATTAAATTTTCTCTTTGCTCTTCTTGCACGTAATGAGAAAGTTCAGAATCGTCTTTATGATGAATTGGAAATGATTATGCCTGCAACCTGTTCTTGCCCAACGATTGAAGAACTTTTATCATGTGAATATCTTGTTGCTGTGGTGCGGGAGGCTATGCGTCTCTTTCCCAGTGCCCCGCTTATTTACCGTGATGCTCTGCAAGATGTTTATCTCCCATCCTCAGATGTGGTGATTCCAAAAGGATCTGTTTGCGTACTTAACATATTCGCTGTTCATCGCTCTATTACAATCTACGGCGATGATGCCGATGAATTCCATCCAGAACGATGGTTGCAAGGTGAAGGACAGGAACTCCGCAGTCGTTGTGGGAACTGTGGGTATATGCCATTTAGTGTAGGTAACCGCAATTGCATTGGTAAAGAGTATGGATATTATGAAGTACTGATCGCAACAGCGGTGTTTATACGACATTTACGTGTGGAGTCTGTAGGTGCCTTTCCACGCACGCAGTTTTCATTCACTATGTCTTCGCCAGATCCTTGTCGTGTACGACTCATACGCCGTCCGGATGTATCAACAGATGCTATGATGAAGAGTGTACGGATTCTACAAGAGTATGAAACAGCAATACAATTCCCCACAAGATGTGAAGCTGTAATGGTGTAATGTCTCATTTGAATTTTAACATATAAAAGAAGTAATATATATATATTTATTTACCTTGATTTATGCTAATGGGGGGTGGTTAGCATATTTCTTTGGTTTTTTTTTTCCTGTTATGTAAGCAGAGGTTTTCTGGGGGAAAAAAAACGGCGTCTAAAGTTGCTCTTTCTTTATTTGACAGAAAGAATTTGAGTGATATGTGATCTATTGCATCTTTTTATTATTATTTTTTTTTTCTTTTGTTGCTACTTTTAGATCCCTATGGTTCTGTAAAAGTCTCGGTTCTTCAAATTTCGTTATGTCTCGCTTTTTTTTAAAAAATGGTGGCAATATGTATTGTTTTCTTCCTGCAGTTTATTTCGTTTCTCTCGTTGATTCATTCATTTTGTCACCGACACTATTGTTGACCTTTTTTTTTTCGTATGTGTGACCCTCTCTCTGGGCTTGTTCTCAACAGCGTTAGGATAGATGCAAAAAAAAAAAAAAAAAAAACCCCGAGACTTATGATAAATGCTTTCTTTTTCTTTTTTTTTCCTTCTTTCGTGGTGTTTCTATGGGAAAACAACTTATATGCTATTCTTTTTCTTTCTTTTGGTTCAGTTCTTCTTTTCACATGCCTTACTATCATTTTCTCTGATTTGAAGTAGTTAAAGAGTGAGAAACCGTAGGTCTCTAATGTTTTTCTGTTATTATTATTGTTTTTTGCTTGTTTTTGTATTGTGTTGCTTTTTCTTTTTCTTTTTTATTTCTTTATCCTTCTTTCTTACTCCGGAATTGGCAGGAAATCATCCTTTAGACGATGTATCTAGCAGCAGGAGAAAAGTCCCTGCGTGGTGTGGCATATATGCCCCAAGCAGGGGCATCACGCACACGCGCTGTTACTGGAATTCTTGCAGCTGCTACTACTACTACTACACGCACATACAATTTAATTGCTGTCGCTACTCTATCGCTCTCTACATCGTGTGATGGGGAACTGACAATAATGACAGTGGAAGAAGGTTCAACCCCAATGACAGTTGGGCGTCGTACATTCTCGTTAAGTATGGAGTCTGGGGATGGAATCGCTAAAGTAGTATGGGCAGGCCTGACGGTGATTGCTTTGATGAGCTCCGCAGGAGAAGTGATATGCCTATCATCAGGAATGCAAGATGATAGTAATAATAGCGATAATGATGATAATGAAAGCAACAGTGATAACAGTGATATAGGGGAAATTGAAGAGTTACTTTTACGTGCTGAAACCCATGCTGTAGATATCTGTGCTTTAACAGTCCTTGGTTGTCCTGTAGTTGTTGTTGCTGGTCATCAACGAATACACAGTTTTGCATTTCCGACACAATCTACTAGTGGTAAAGTAAACCCGGAAACTCATGAATTTAATATTGGTCCTTTTAACACTATTGCTGGTGTTTCACAAAAATCTGTTGGGGCAGCGCTTCTAGTTGGTTGTACTCTTGGAAGTGTAACAGTATTTGAGTGGGAATCCCATTCTGTTTCTCCTGCACCTCTTCGCTGTATTATTATGGGACCATCTACACGTTATATTGGTATAGCATCTAGTTCCTGCTATCAAGTTAAAACAGGGTATGAAACCACATTTTGTGTATTTGGTGAGACAGAAAAGAAAAAAGAAAATAAAATTTTACATCTTCCTACATTATCATTACAACGTTCAGATGGTGTTCCCTTTGAAATAATGGAAACGGATAATTCAGAGTTTGCGTCACAACTTCCTTCATGGAATGATGTATGTCGTTCTTCGGTATCCAGACCACATATTATTGGAGGATCATCACTCTTAATTGCTCAACCACAGATTGGAATGGATTATGTAGTTCCTCATGTACTTTGTATAAGAGTTTCCCAAGAAAAATCAAAGACTTCTAAAGTGGCCCATTTGGGGAAGCAAAACGTTAAATCTGTGGAAGCACTTTCTTCTGTTGAATTTAAAGTAATAGAAGTACTATCTCCAGAGTGTGAACATGTACTTGCAAAACTTGGTTCTTCTGTTAGTGTAATTCCTCTACTACGGCGTACAAATCACTGTGATTCTCAAGACTATGATACATTTTGTCTCTTTGATGGAAAATGTGCTGCTTTTTTTGGCTGCAATGAAGAGAAACTTCAGTTAGAGTCTTGTGGTGTCATTAAACCAAACGCTCCTACTGAATGGATGGCTGGGGTGGCGTGGACTCCACAGTCAGATGATGTCCTTATGCTCTCTGGTACTCCCCTCAACGCCGATGATGAACAGCGGCAACAGCCAAACACAGAGAACAATACAAACAAGAATAACACAAACACAAGCCGTAATAATGCGACGGTGTGTGTTGTTGGAAATCTTCGTGTAACCCGCGCTGTGCCGCAGGTGCGACGTGTTGGCAGTTGGCGGCGGCGTGTAGAGCGACGACTGGCGGCGGTGGAAAGAGCGGTTGGAGTTCTTTTGCGAAACCGCGGCCGTCGTCGTCCACTTGTGCGATATCCAGCACTTTATCCTTAACAGTTAATATATACTTCTTTCTTTGTATTTATGTCTGTGTGTATGTGTAATGTGAGGAAAGAGAGTTGTTGTCTTGTATAGTGTTCTCTTTCTCTTCTTTTTTTTCCCCTCTTTTTCTTTACCTTGTTTGATATGTCTATGTGTGATAGACGAGAGAAAGAGAAAGAGAAAGAGAGAGAGGTGGTAGTGGAGAAATGACGGCGTCCCTATCATCACGGAAGATTGATGAGGCACTTCGTCTCTCTGCAGAGGTGCGGGAGTTATTGCTTCTCCATGGTCACAGTAAAAAGGCAACTGTAATCTCTATTCGTCGAATTCAAGAAACACTGCGTGCTATTTTGCAATGTACCTCTCTTATACAAACATACGATCAGACACCCTACCGTTGTAGTATTTACAATCATGTTTCTCGCACATTTCTAAGCGTTCTTGATCTTCAACCAGAAGGAGACGAATTGGGTAATGGCGGCAACCATAACGACAATACCTACAGTCTAGATACATTGGAAAAGGCATCTAATTGTCCCCCACAGACAATAAATGGTGAAACAAGTGCCTTTGAAGAAGTTTCCGCGGTGCGAACTGAAAGCAGAGGTGATGGTATTAATAATAATAATAATAATAATAATAATAATAATAATAATAATAATAATAATAATAATAATAAAGTTGTGCGGTGGGCAGATGTTGTGGGATGTGAAGAGGCTATCATAGCGCTAAAACAAGCAACTACACTTCCGCTGCAGTTTCCACAGTTATTTAAGGCACCACGACGACCACCGCGTCGTATTTTACTGTATGGTCCACCCGGTACTGGAAAGACATTACTTGCCGCCGCAGCAGCTACAGAGTATAATGCACCGCTTTTCACTATTTCCTCTGCAGATATATTAAGTAAATGGATTGGAGAGTCCGAGCGTCATGTGCGACGGCTCTTTGAAGCTGCAGCAGAACTCCCTCGTAGTGTTCTTTTCTTTGATGAGGTGGACGCTATATGCGGTGAGCGTGGTGGGTCTAATGAAAGTGAGGCCTCACGACGAATTAAGACGGAGTTACTTCTTCAAATGCAAAGTCTTGACTCTGGTCATATTACTATTATAGCAGCGACAAATTTACCATGGGAGTTGGATTCTGCTTTTCGTCGTCGTTTTGATTATCTCGTGTTTATTGGTCTTCCCTCACCCTCTGCACGTCGTCAACTGTTTTTATCAGAGTTACAGCAAATACCACACAGTCTCACTGAAAGTGATTTGGATTGGCTTGTTAATTACACGGAAGGGTATTCCGCATCCGATATTCGTCATGTTGTTCAGCATGCCATTATGGAGCCTATTCACAGAATTGCTCAGTCATCGTATGTACGTTGTGTTCCTGTTTCGCCTCTCTCTGTTGGGATTGAGGATCATCTCACAGCATCTACACAATATGTGCCGTGTTCAGAGAATGATGAGGGTGCGATCTCTCTGTGTAGTATTCCTGCAGCGCAGCTTCACGTGCCAGATGTTGGCAGAGATGATTTTGAAACTGCTATACGTGCGTTTCCACCGAGTGTCTCTGCAGAAGAGATGGAGAAATTCTCACAATGGCGAAGACGAGAAAAACGTACTACCGGATAATTACCTATACACAATATATGTAATAGAGTGGGCTTGGGTTATGTTATTTTTTATTTTTTCTGTTGTTGTTGTTGTTGTTTAAATGATAAATACTTTTTTACAGAGTTTTCTATCCTGGTTTTTCTTGTTTCTCTCTTTTCCTTCATTTTTTATAGTCTACTATAAAATCATATCTTTTTTTTTTCTTATTATTATTGAACCTTTTTAAATCTTTATTTCCTTATTATTCCTCTTTGTACGTATGTGTGTGTATGTATGTGTATTTTACTGGGGAGTTGAGTTTTTTTTTTTTCTCTATTGTTTCCTCTCTTGTCTATTTTTTTTTTTTCTTTTTTGGCTTTCGCTAATATACACAGGTGCACTCTCGCCTTTACTCTCAGACTCTCCATCCAACCCATAAGCACCATCAACAAGGAATTAAAGGGAGGAGGAGGAGGAGGGGAAGAAGAAGGACTGTTTCTAAAAGAAAAAGAAAAGAAGAAAAAGATAATTTTCTAGTGGTGAGAGAAATGCCCAATGATAGCAAGAGAAATCATACAGTGGAACATCGATCCACGAAGGGGAATAAAAACAATCATCTTTCCGTTAATGATATGCAGTACGCAGTAGTTAAAAAACATCATCGTCATAAATGGTTACGGCAGGAACGTTTGCTGGAAATCACATCTACACATATATATAACTGTAAACCTTCACAAGGAAATAATACAGTTCCGAAAATTACAAAACAATTCCCTCTTACATCTATTACAACGATAGGTCTAAAGGGTAAAAAAGCTTTCTGTATTCATGTTCGTGATGATCATGTTTATTATTATTATACACCAAAGGCTATAGAAATTGCTTTTAAAATTCAACGATATGTCGCAGCAGCGAATGCTGTTGATATTTTAATTGGTAATGGTGATCGTGATGATGATGATAATAATGATAACGATGGGAAACGAAAAAGTATTCTTATGGAGCAGTTAGTTAGTGGAGCTATACCATTACCTGGTGCTCATCTTAGTAATACTAGTGGGGCTTCTACCCATCGTGGTTATCGTTCAATAAAATTAAGGTGTGAAATTAACAGAACATTACGAAATGGAAAAATACAAAGTGCTGAAGAACTAAATAAATTGGCATTGACATGGAAAGCAAAAAGTGAATATGATGAAATGAATTTACCTCAACTTCGTCGATCTATAGATAATATAAGAGATGAATGTGCGATAAATATAATGGAAGAAAGTTATTTATCGCAACGTGGAATAACCTACTCAGAAGTAGTAATGTGTGTTGAGGATATTATTCAAAAAGTTATTATTACACCTAACTTTGATAAGATAATGTTTTTCCTTCGTAGAGATGAGGATTTGGTAAATAGGGAAGAATTATTTAATCGAAATCGTGAATTATTACGAGGTAAATCTGCAAAAATTTTTAACGTTCGAAAAGATTTACGTTCTATTAACTATAAACTTGTTTTACGTCATTTTGAACTCTTAATGACACTAAGAAATCCTAATGACTTTTTAGATCAATTAGTCAATATTGCTGCCTGTATTTACTTAACACTTCACGTGGCATCTAAATTCGGGTATTACAGTAATGTGAATGAAGGACTCTCTGCAAGTTGTAGAAATGGAGAAACGTGCAATGCCACTGTAGGGTCTTATACTTCACCATTATTGTTAAGATCCCCAATGAATGGACCTTCAAAGGCAAAATCGATTGTCCTTTCTCTCTCAAGTGAAAGTAATGAAATTCAAGATTCTCTTGAAAAAGATAACACACATAATATACCTCAGTTTCAATCAAATAGTTGTAAGTCTATTGTGCTCTCTGTGGATGAAATGAAGAGAACATTTTCGGATTTATCTTTTTCACTCCCAACAGTGGAAAATGGTAGACGCCAGGATGATGCCAAAATTTCAATGTTTTCCTTAGATTCATCATCTGAAAACAGTGAAGAAAAATTACCTTCTTCACAGCTACGCTCATCATCGAGTCTTTTTAATTTACTTGAGAAGGATGGTCTTTCAGCTGATGATATGATTCCTCTTTATATTCATCTTCTCTGTGAATCTGATGTCTCGGATCTTTGTTTTATCGTCAATTTTATTGAGTTGTTGGGTGATTCTGATGATACATCAGAGCGGGCCTATTACTATACCACTCTTAGAGCGGCTATTGCAGTGCTGTGTGAATGGAAACCTGAAGATATGGTATCTACGAATACGGCAACAAAAGAATCTAATATGAGTCGATTGAAATTTGTAAGGAAATAGCTAATCTACCATTAATGGTTTATTTTTTTTTTTTTTTTTTTTTT